ATATAAATAAGTAAGTAACTTTATAAAAGTAAAAAGTTACTAGTGTCTGTACATAAGTACAGCTGCGTCTGTACACGCGTATAGCTAAATTAGGTTGCCTAAAACATTAGCTATCTAGCCTGTGCGTCAGGGGCTATATGTACTTAAAAACCCTCTTTCTTTATATAAAAAAAGAGGGCAGCAGTTAATAACAAGAAGATCTTTGCCTGCTCACCTCTTAGTACGCCCCTTAGGCGTACGTTTGTTCAATCGAACCTAGGTCAACCGACAACTAGTATAAATGCAGTAGTAAGTCTTTAATAATGTTATAATAGTTTAAAGCGTAGTAAAGAAATTATTTACTGCTTAGTAAATTAAATGCCTTTTAGCGCGTTTATTAAGCTTTAGAGGTTAGCCTATACACAAAGCTTTTATATAGGTAGGCAGGGGCTGCTTGCACAGCTAGCAGATGTTGTATGTAACTGTTAACTTAGGAATGCTAAGATAATGTAAGATTTTGCTAGCGCTTACGCTGTAAAGGTAGAAATACTATATTATATTAACAAAGGATTTAGATAGCTTTTTACAAGAGGTTTTATTTGCTTTTGTAACTATTAAAAAAGGTAGTAATTTAATTAAGTTACATTTAATTAAAATCTAACCATTGTAGGGTGGCCTAGACCTCTTGCTAAAGTGGCTAATGACTTTTGGTAGGCGACTGTACATTCCGGGAGTTTTGCTAAGCGGAGGAGGGGCGGTTTGACAGCGTCCCGGGATGGCGGGAGGGCTAGCGTTCCTTAGCGGGCATTTTATCGTATTAGCCTGCTTACATTATGCGACGCGGTAGCCACAGGGCTGACAGTGACCTCTTAGTATCGTGGTGAGACTAGAAGGCCTAGATTAGACCGTAGCTAGGTCTTTGAACAGCTAGGTTCTTTATATTTTGGTAGACTATATTGCTAACCTTCTAGTTAACTAGCTAGTAGTAGTAGTTAACTACAGTTTACATCTAATCCTAAGCCTTTTCTATATAGGTCTTAGCTAACTTCTAGGCCGCGTGCATGCAGGTTGCTAATGCTAGGGCATTCTTATAATTTAACTTGTCTGTGGCTGTAATAGGTTCTGTAGAATGTTTCTAATCCCAGCTTTAACATGGTTTAGAGCTGTATAGAACTTAATACAGAGACATTCTAATTGTTGCATAGGGCAGGGTTATCTAAGCCAAATTAATTAGGGGTAGTAAGGAACTCTAGTTGTCCTAGTAAAAGAACACAAAAGGCCTTAGTCTTTAATTAATATACTTATTTATAATCTTAGTTTAGCTATCTGTTTCTTTATAGTAGGCAGTAGAGAGCTTAACTTTTATGCCTAGAATTCGCTAGAAGCAGCTTGTACAACAGTCCTTACGCGCAATAGGTATATATACTATTCTGTACGCAGATTAACTGTTAGTTGATTATTTACACCTTTTAGTTGTATTAGCGTAGTGGTACAGAGCTCTGTCCTTACACTAGGTAACAAAGTAGCTCTGCTGTCGCTAAATATAACAAAGCAACTTAAAGTATATAGTTGTGAGAGGTATCAAGCAGGAAGCACGAGGTACAGAGAGGGAATGCAGGATAGGGGGGTGTAACGAGAGAGTAAACCTTAGGGTCAGAGGCAGAGGTACAGAGGCCGAGGAGCCTATATACCCTGTACTAAGCCTAAGGAACTTGGGGGTTAGATAGCTATAACATACCTGTGACATAACTGTGACAATAGTTTACACAAATTGCTTTCCTAGCAATTTGTAGTTAATTAAATTATATTTTCCTAACACTTGCTTTATAATAACTAGTATTAGAAATTCCTTATCTATTGCTCCTACTACCATCTCTTAGCAATTAGTACATTCCCTCTGTATCCTACCCTACCTTCACCCTCTGATTCAACCCTTCCCTCTTGGCATAACCCCACGGCCAGCATCTCAGTCCTCGGACGTCATCGCCCCGTAACAAAACGCATAAGAAAGAAAATAGGACTAAGACTCACCTAGTTCTTGTTTTTAAATAAGTTTCATCAGAATGTATAGTCTAATAACTAAGAAGAAAAAAAACAAGTAGCTAAGCAGTAACAGCAAAGGCAAGTTGAGGGTTGTGGAGGCATGAAGGCAAGAGAGGAAAGAACAGAGCAAAGGGGCTTATAATATAATAGAAAGTTGTAAGTTCTTATTCCTACAGCAACTCCTGTCCCGTGTGGAAACACATATTTTACTCCGAGCCATCAATTACAGGTATCCGACTGCTTAAGGTCGAAGGGTGTTGATCGACACGCCAGAAAAACCAAGTGAATAGTCGGCTAGACGCAACCGGGGGCATTGTGGGTGTGACTTTGATTGCTGATCTAGATGCGCATGAACGATATTTTCCACATTAACCGTGTGGCAAGGGATATGGTGTAGGAGGGATATAGGACTATCTACATAATTCGGCGGGGGCTAAGGCATGGGAGTGGGGAGATAGAGAGGGTGGCCCAGAGTTCGACTCCCAGCTAGGGAGCTAAAGCGTAGAATGAGGCCACGACGATCTCATAGAGCGATGTGTCGAGCTAACGGTAGCATTATCCTTGTCGATCAAGAGTATGGGGTTGATCTAAAGGTAGGAAAGTCAACAGAGAGATCCCTAGACAATCAGGCTATCAGAATAAAAATTTAGCTTTAAACTATCATACCAAAGTGATGCTGGGAATTTGCACTTGATATTGTAGAATATTGAGACTGCAGATCAATGAGTATGAGAACGAGTCATGTTGACTGCAAACTTGATTCTCCTTGCGAAGAGACCAAAGTTTGGGAATTGAACGTCGAGCAACTAAACGTGACTTTGCTTTTGGCCACACTCTGGTGGGTGTGAAAATGTTAGAATTTCCCTACGTTTCCGTGACAAGGGGCCGTGTACATAACCCAGGCAGACAAGAAAATATCATGGCTCTTCTGGGATGGCGAAAGGAGGATAGGTTCATTCTGATCTCGGGGGTTTCTACATTTCATCGGAATGTTCTATCGGGAAAGCAATTAGCCAAGGGGCATATTCACGCGCGTGTTGAAGCGCAAGGGTATCACGTCTGGTCTCCGTTCAATGCGCATCCCCAGTCTCCAAAACTTCAAGAGCACCTCCAACTAAATGCAAACTCCCCGTGATTAGGACCATGACCTCATCATTGCCGCGTTCTCCATTCTTCACATAATTGCCCGCAATGGCTCTCACTTCCCTAATCGCCTCCTCGATAGTCTTCAGCACACTTACGTCAGCAGTCGGATCTATGTCGGACCAGGTCTTCGCGAGTGCTCTCTGGACAGCCAGCGCATCGACCTCCTCTTTGTTTGTATTCATGGACAGCAAGTCTGGCTTGTAGCCAGCGTCGAATGTCTGGTTTGTAGTGAAGATAGCGTGGCTAAAAGGTGCCTCCTTTCCAGAGTTGATGGCGGATTGAAGTGCACTATAGAGAGCCCGAGCTAGCTCGTTTGCATCTCTAGTCTGTTGGTTGAAAATGAGAATACGCGGCGGTATCTCCTTTCCTGAAGTCGACACCGACGAATTAGATGTAATGCGCTCTGCAAACCATGTTCCCGTGACCTCGATACTTTCAAGTGTGTGCCCGCCATCGATATGCCATGCTACATTCTTCTCACGCCGAACTTCGCATCGTCCGGGCCAGCGAACTTGTTCAAGCCCACGGATGAACTCCGGAGGTAAGTCAATGCTTGACGACACTATTGGGTCTGGAACGGAGGTATGGCCAAGAGCACGCAAATGCGCCGCAGCAACGGCAATGGCGAGGGACGCATTAACCTTCTGGAAGGATGCGGAGAGCCCGAGCTTGACGTCGTCATTGGCTAGGGCGGGGTGGAGACTGACGACGTGGATTGATAGCGCCTTCTCTGCCGCTCGCTCCTGAAGGACGGCTATGGCTTGCTGTTTTTGAGGTGCAGTGAAGGCTAAGCTACCTGTCTTAAATATTCCAGCCTTATGCCACGCAATCTCTGGCAGAGTAGAGCCTAGCATCACGACGTGATCTATGCCAAGGCTTGTCACAACGGTCACCGTCGGCCTTGTCAGAATATTTGTGCTGTCGTATTCGCCACCAATACCACACTCAATCACGGCCGTGTCCACACCTTCTTGCAGATAGGTGTGAAGAGCCATGAGCGTTAGATAGCGGAAGTACACTGGCTTTGTTGGTTGGTCCGGAGGAGTATCTGAGGCCCTCGCTGCAGCCTCAAGTCGGTCCCATACTTCAAAGAAATACTTTGCAAACTTCTCTTCCGATATAGGTTCATTGTTAATCTGTATGCGCTCGCGAACGAATCGAAGGTGCGGGGAGGTATACAGGCCGATTTTGGTAGGCTTCGTATCGACCTGGGTAGGCGAGAGGTATTGTGAAAGAATAGAGGATATAAATGCACTCGTGGAGCCCTTTCCTTTAGTTCCGGCCACGTGGATAGGCCTTAATCGATCGAAATCGGAGGGCTAGCGACAACTTGTGAGCGTTAGGATAGAGTAGATGGATGTGGCCTGCACACCTCATACCCAACTCTGCGGCACCACTCAATCATCTCGGGTATGGCTTGCTTATTCATCCCTTTACCAGACTTTCTGATCGCGTCCACAATGGAAAAATTGGACTGCAGCGTATTGAGGGCTGCGACAGCCGCCTATGGAAGAGTTAGCCAGCGACAATTAACGCAGAAGCTCAACATGCCGCATAGTCGCGTCTCTCCATGCTGGACGGGCTAAAACGTGTGCGGTCGGTGGATAGAAAGCGCCGACAGCACAATTGTCTTGGGGCTATATACATGAGCGCATCATGAGGTTGTGTGCTTGAAGCAACAATCCGCTTCTTTTTTTTTTTGCTACAATCCGACGGAAGCCGATGACGCAGAGTGCACAGACCGCCCAACACCAAAATCCTGTACCACCAACTGGAGCGCTCAACTCGCGCCCTCCACTCAGCACTCTTCTTCTTTGTTCAGGCTCAGGGTGTAGCATTTGGAGCCTCAGGCTAAGATTTCTTTCAGCCTCCCCGTCGTCACATCTTTAGTCAATCACCTAATTCCATGGAGCTCCACTATGTGTTGCCTTTTCGTCCCCATCCCCAGGACAATCATCCATTTCTTCTCTTTTCTGTTCGACTCCTTGTTCCAGTTCTACTAATTGTCCAAAAGGGATACGTAGGAGCATTGTCTCATATATTTCAAATGGTCATAGGAAGGGCATCTTGATCACACACCAGCCACAAGACAACTCAACAGCGTTCAAACCGACCTTTATTCTTTCCACCAGTATTCTACTCTTTTGGGCCATTCCTCGAGCTCAGTCTGACAGCTGGACAAGCCAGGCGTTGGCGTCGCTCCCGCTTATCAAAATTGCATTCCGTGATGCCCAATCCAGTTAGTAGGACATGAAATCGTTTGAGGTTTCAAAACAAGCTTCAGCCCCATGTCTGGGGGAATACTCCGGCTCTTAATCCCAGACAATAACTAGCAACCGAGACTGGACATGTCGCAAGTCTCGGCATAATTTGTTCATCCCGAGACCTTCCACTTTGATCCTCTTCCTTGTCCTAGTCAGCCTGAGCTTAGTTTGTGAGGATGCCAGCATAGCAATGGATTCTAAGACCGGTGCTGAAATCCGGTTCAAGTATTAGGTGTACGATGATTCAGCTCGAAGTCCTTCCTATGCGTTCGCAGCTTAACAGAGCCTCACCTCTCTGTCCCATTCCATTCACAGTTTCACTAAACATAGGATGGTGGCTGCCGAACTAGCGTTTGAAAGAGCTTTCCCGGAGGGAGGAGCCAAAAGAGATCACTCTTGTAGGCCTCAAAGCACTTTGCCTAAATGATGGAGCCTAATTACGACGACAGAGAATGCGACAGTTACCACACAGAAACCCAAGTGTGCTCCATCCTACAGCCTGGCTATTGCTCCTGCTGATCCTATCTTCGGCCCGGGAGAACACCAGCCTTCATATGCATTTTCATGCTTACCCACAACGTCGTCACTTACCATGAATAGAAGCTCTGGGCAACAGAACTATTTTGCAATGATAACTGATCATTGCCATGCACGGAATATCCAGACCACCACTGTCGTGAGCATCATACGTTGATTCCTTAGGTATGCGACCCGTACAGTCGCATCATGGGTTGTTGGCAAGTCAGGAACAGGTTTCAAGCACGACTCGTTTCGTTGCTTGTTCCGCCTTCCTTCTCACACTTTCCGGTTCCGTTGAACAGTCCTCTTTCATATTGATCGAGGCAGCCTCGTTGGTGGCCTCTCTAAGTCATCCTCGACTCGTTTAACTGCCTAAACCAGGCCCAATGTTTGTCTCAACAACAACACCTCAGCCTTTTTGAAGATTCGCCGCCGAGCTGTCTTCAGAATGTGGCTGGATAGCAAAGAAACAGATCCATCTCAAGCAGATGCAACGTGAGAAGGAGAAAGAGGACAAGGCTGGACTTTGTCTTTCACAGACCCTGCAAGACAAATTATTTCATTGGTATGACGCTTCGTTATCATCTTCTTTGTCCGTCGTTCTCACCATCGACAAAGTCTGGGAACTGAGTGACGCATACAAAGCTGCAACTCATCCAACGCCCTCCCTTCGCGACTTTTGGCCGCCGCAACTACCGTATACGAACATATCCTCGCTGGTTCGACGTCAAACAAAAAAACATACTTTGCTTCTACGTATTCATAATTTCTAAAAACGGACCCGCATCTGCCCAACAATAACGATGCGACTCCCAACAACCCTTCTCGCTCTGTCTGTCTCCCTCCCACTTGTCTCCGCACTACCCTTCCCGCTCAGCCTCTTCTGCCGCGACCTCACCTTTCCCATAATCCACAAACGCGGTCTCCCCGGCGCCGTCTACATCTGCACAGAACGCAACTTTGCTGGTGAATGCGGTTGGGTTATGCCATCCACGAACTGCCACATCCCCGGCACCGGAGACGACACACCTCGCTCCATCGGCCCCGACCCCGGCGGATTCTGCATCCTGTATGAAAAAGCCACCTGCAAAGGAAACCAAGTCTTGACACTCAGGTTCCCGGGTGCTGATTCGGCTATCCCAGAATTCGGGGGCATGAAGTGCTTTGCAAATGGCGTGGGCAATATGACTCAGAACCTTGCGGGTGCTGCAAGTGGTGCGCCAGGCTCGGGGGATGCGAGACTGGCGGGTGGGGTGGGGAGTATGAAGGAGATGGAACTAAAGGAGATTGTGAGGGAGATGGTGGAGAAAGGACATCCGGATGGGATGATTGGGTTGGAGAAGGGGGTATATTATTAGGAATTTGGACTTAGATTTCAGGATTAAGCTTAACAAGACTGGTAGAATGGAGGCATTTGTATTCTTTGTGTATATTTGGTTAGAGTAGATTGGTTTAGAGATCCAGCCCTTTCAAATTAACGAATTATGTTCTCCCACCGGCTGTTTAATCCTCTTGAAAGGATGCAGAAGTAGGAAAGGAAATTCCCTACTGTAAAAGGTAATAACCATCCATCAGTTATCTAACGAATGCCCTGAAGATCTCTCAATAAGGTGTAAGTGTGTTTACACAAAATAGTCCTCTGTCTACCTAAAAGAATACAGAAACCGGGGAGAAATTTTTCTTGCTGTAGAACCTAGTGACGGTCTCTACGTATTAATATTATCATAATAACTTACCTTTCATAGTTGAGTGCGTCTCTGTTAAGATACGTAGATATTGCTACAGAGATTCTATGAATAAGAGACAAGAGCTCAGAGAGACGCGCTGGTAGATTGTTACTGCATTGTCTAGTAAATGGTCAATTGGGGTAGCTCGAGCGTTAGCACGAGAACGATACGCTAGCACGTGATTTTCAACGTTACGATCGGCATGCTCAAGCAACAAACAAGACGTGATATAACCCAGCTATATTAAAAATAACGAGCAGGCGAGCTGCTCTGTAATAGTTAGTATAGCTTTAATATACATTTATATAGTCTTAAGTTTTACTAATAGTTATTGCGTAATTCTTTTATAAAATAAGTAAATTTACAGTTTATATATAATTTTATAGGCGTGGAGGGAATATTGTTCGGTTGCTAATGAATTCCACCGATTTTGCACTAGATAAATACCTCGGGCACATGACGTTCGGCCACATACCTCAGTACGTATATATCCTTTCTCAAGCCCCTGAGTCTCCTCAAGGATTCGTCTATCAATACTATTCTATACCCCACTTCTGCGCTTCATACTTCCTGCATACAGCGTTCTCACAGCAAGCACTGAGAGACATCTAATGTGGACTTGTAGCAGTGCGAGTAGAATCTTAGTGCATTTAGGGGAGGAAATGTAAGCTTAGCATTCAATGTTATCTATGTAATGCAGGGGATCAAGATAATAGAGCGTCCAGGCACAAGACTGTAACAAGGGTCTAAAGAAGTCAACCAAGTATACTCTAAAATCATCACCACCAAGGTTATAATGTCTAATAACAGGTTGCCAGAACTTTCAAACAGTTAGCTGCCTTCCTATTCACTATCTACTCCTCTCACTTGCACTCTGTCAACAATGCCAGCACCATTTCATCCCATAAGTTAGCACTTGTCTCCGGTTCATCGATCAGCACCTCCAAACCTCCTTCCCCGCCCCTTCCCACCACCCTCACTACCTCCTTTCCCGCAACAACCACCATCCTCCTCTCCACCGCCGCCAAGCCAGATAACCTCAAGAAGGACGCCAAACCAAACTTCTTGACGTACTGCATATACGACACCGCCACAGTATTATTAATCCGAAGTACCACACCAAGAACACCTTTCCTAACTCCTACTTTCTGGTCGTGGAAGCTAAACAAGCAGTCAAGCATGCTATTCACGACGCTAGCTGTAACGCCATTCCTCGCCTCACAGAAGCCCTTCTCTTCCGGGTGCCACAAGATCTCGACATCCCAATTAGCAATTATTGGGATAAATGGATAGCACTTGATCAATTTCTCCATATGCTTGCTCATCTTCTTCGTCCAGTCTCCCATATTGAAGCGTAGGAGATTGCCGGTGAACTTAATAGTGATTTGGAGCGTGACGCCGTGGTTCATGACCCAGGAGTAATATTCTCGGGCTTCGGTGAAGTGGTATTTGTGGAGAGCGAGGAGGCCGTTGTTTCCATGATGCTTGAGGCTGACAATGGTCTTGGAGATGCGCGGGAAGTCAAAGGTCTTGGATTTAAAGGGTAATGCGAAGGACGTTGACGGATTGTTGTCATTGGTGGCATGGGCGTAGATCTCGTTGCAAAGCTCAGGGGGGAGCCGCGCGAGGAGAGCGCGAGACAAATGGTGTTGAGTAGTTGAATTCATGCTGCATAGTCGTTCAAAAAGAACTTCGTACGGGAGGAAGGGGTGCTTGTAGTTTTGTGTTCCGTTGAGTTTCTGCGGGAGGGAGGTGGCAGGACGAGGGTTTTACACTCTAGTGTTGGGTGAGTGGGTGACCATAAGCGATGCACAATGTCATTGAACTCAGGCTTACAATTAGGGAGATGGGTGCCCAAAGGGAGTGAAGATTTAAAGGTTTCCGCGTTGTGGTGAACCTTGGTGCAGTACATCTTGACTGCAAGTGTGCCTCAACGGGCAGGAATCTAGAAGCTCAATCCATCTTGAACAATTCGTTTAACGCCTCTGTTCTACCATTGCGCGGGGAGAGGACCCAGGGATTTCACAATGTGTCCATTGTGGTGTGGCCTATGGAAGCGAGAAGATGTGGACAAATTCGGTGAGGGATTAATTATTCCATTTTGGATATTGGCACTCAAACGCTTGTTGTGCTGTTTGGAAGACTGAAAACAAAGCGTCGTTTGTGGGGTTGGCGTCCTTTTATCCCTTGTCTGACGCCCTCCTCTTGACGTAACTTGACTCATTGAAAGGGCGCAGTCCATGGACCTGCGCCACAACCCTGCTCGCACGGGCTTTTGATCAAATGAAAAATATCTAGGCATGCAACTGGAAACTACAACACATAATACCGTATGACCGAACGAAATGTCTTCAGAATTCTATGGCGTTGGGGTAGATTGATTATTGAGATTCCGAGCTAACGATGTCACGATGAGAGGATGGTGGTGAGTGGTGAGTGGCCCGTGCGATTGACAAATTAGGGCGAACCAACAGACCACATTTTAGAATTATGCGAGCACTGAAGCAGATAAGTGAATCTCTTATTATGGAAATAATCAATCGTGAGCTTGATGCACACCGACATGTAGAAAGAGACATCCATTTAGGCATCTAGGAACGCCAAGCGCCTCTTATGTCCACAACAAAATGGGCTAACTTAGCTTTTATTGTTTACAGCGCGATTGCACTGGAGCTCGCCTTCTCAATCCTTCTCCTCTTGCTCCTCAGATTCTCAGCCTCCTTGTCCCGCTTATTTGTTCCATGCTCGATCCTCTTCAACAGTTTCCTCTTCCGTCGTGGAAGCATCATCTTCTGCCGCTCCCGTTCCTCCTCCTCCTGTTTCCGCTTCTTCTCCGCCTTCTTCCTAACCTTCGCGTTTTTAGATTTAGTTGTGGGCAGTGAGAGTTCTACACTGACACCAGCAGCTTCTGCCTCGAGTTCGCGTTGATGTTGACGCCGTTCAACCTCTCCTTCAGAGATGTCGGATTCTGCATCTGACTCGAAACCGTCCCACTCATCACCTTGGGCCTTCTCGGTATCTTCATTTTCCTCTCTCACGTCGGAGTCCGATTCCGATTCGGCAAGGTCCATGCCCTCACCAGCCTCCACCGAGCTATCGCGGTCCACAATAGCCTCAATGTCCTTGTTCTTTCCATTCACGGCAGGGGCAGCCGCAATATCCGAGTCACCGTCATCGGCACTCTCTTCCATTTCCTCCTCTTCAAACGCTTCTGCTTCGCCTTCTAGTTCCTGTTGCTCAAGAGGAATGTTTGGATTGTACTCTCCCTTACTTGGCTTTACCCATGGACTAAGATGAGGTGGTAACTCTGCACTTGGCGCATAGAGATCTGGTCGCAGCAACTTTCCTTGGTTAATGCAGTCCCATACCCATTGAGGTTGGATGTAGGTTCGGCCCGGCATCGCTGAGCGCGGCCATTGTGCTTTCGGTGCATCGCCGTTCGCGGTCTCCGGTGCATCTGGGACTTCTGGAAGCGAGGAGTTAAGAAGGGCTGGTCGATCAACGATTTGGTGAGTGATTGCAGTGTCCGACTCGTTTGTCGTGAAAGCGCCATCACCGAGGATGCTATCCCAACCAACCCTTTTGCATCCAAACGCCTTCAATATAAATTCAAGAGGTGCCTTTGGTGTCTCTCTCGAAAGATAGAATGTGAACGGGGCAAAGAGGGACGCCAATTCGGCACTGCTAGCTTGGGGCTGAGGCAGGGTGTCGGCATCTTGGGCGGTAGGCTCGAACGTGTCGATCGCTTCCGTGTTTTCGTCTTCCCCGGTCTGCACAAGCGCTGTCGCTGTGTCTGATTCTTCTGAATCTGGTAGGGCAGCAACCTTGTCAGCCTCTGCCTGCGCCCGGTCAGACGCGATAGCCTCTGGTGCGTTGCCGTTTGTGACATGCTCATCGCCTGAAGCCACGCCCTTGCCTTCCAATTGGAAAGCTCCAAGCTCTCCGCCCTCTTCATCACTCTTGGCATTAAATTTTGGAGGATAAACCAGGCCAACCGATGTGTACAATCGGAAATTCACGAAGCCCAGGAGTGTCGTGTAAAACTCGACGAACGTGCCCATTATACGGAAATCAATGTCTCCGGCAGTCCTTTGCACAAATCGATAGGGAACAAGCCACAGTATATCCTGCCCTTGTATAGTTGCCTGGTAGTAGATGCCCTTGATCGAAAGGAACGATTTTCGAAGTGAATGTGAGATGATTACGTAGTGCTGGAACTCGAGGCACAGTCTCTGGCAGAGGGCGATAGTCTTCGACGGTACGTGTGGGGTAGAAGGAAGGTTGGCAAAGAGGAACAGCATCGACAGTGCATCATCCAGGTCACGCAATGCGTCGACAAATGTCGGGTATCGCTCCTTTATAATGAGGTCAAGCTTGATCTTGGGTATGTGGGTTTTCTCCAGTCTAGCGGCATCTCCGACCTCACCACGGCCAAGGGCTCGTCCAATCTTCTTCGCAACCGCCTTGTGTTCACGGAACTTGTTCAGAAGAGGCTCATGAAAGAGATATTGTATATCCCTAGTATAGTAGAAGGTGGTGGCGGCGGTGGAGCCCTTGGAGACTTTCTTCTTATTCCGCGGTTCTCGGGGGTATATACCTTTGAAGATACATAACCTTCGGAAATCTGGGAGAGAAATCTGTAACTTTTTGACGGCACGGGTGCGGGTAATGTAATTTTTGGCAGCACCGGATGTTCCTTTGGAGTCGTTAACTGGGTGGACAAAAAAGCGGAGAAACCAAACACACCCTTCTTCTTTATACGGCCCATGATTTCGGCTACAGACTAAGAGAGAAATTGAAAGTTGGAAGTTCAACGATGCGCAGGTCGAGGGCTAGCGGGGACGAAGAAAAGTTCGAGAGCTTCCAATTTTCCCGACAAATAGGCGCAAAGATTCTCCGCGCTCCGGCTTGGCATCCCCGAGCCTCAACACCAGGTGCCACGAATGAAGATACATTCACCAAGTCCGTTCTCGCTCCACATCTCTTTTCTATGGATGAATCGTAGTAATTTCCCTTTACTATGGCATTTGATCAGCAGAAAGTGCTCCTCTTTGGGGTCGCTGCTGCAGTGCGACTTCTTTTGTTTACTGCCTTTCCCTCCCTACCAAACCTCCTCACCGGCCGCGTTGAAATATCCACACCAGTGACAAGCTTTAAGAGGCGTAAGCTATAGCCCGCTTCCTGTGTTGGAATCCTTACTTACTTTGTATCCTAGTACAAGAAGGCGTTTTCCTTTATACCCACAACGTCTCTCCCTACGATGGCGGTGTCTTCCACCAAGTACGTGACGGAGCCTTCACACTTCCAATGCCATGCTCACCCCCCTAGGCGCCACTCCTTTTGCCGCTCTTCTCCCTCCTTCCGAATCCGGCATTCCATCCATTCGCCACGAACCTGTTATACACGGTTGTGGACTTGCTTGGAGCCAATGCCTTGATGCAGATTGCAGAGTCGTGGCAGTCTGCAGCCCCTCGGTTATTTAAGTCTTCCCGAAAAGACCTCCGCTGGAGTAGCATTGCGATTGGTGCAGGGTATGCATGCTGGAGTTCTCCAGGGATGCCTGCTAATTGTATAAAGCTTCCTCTTCAATCCGTTCACAATTACGACATGCATTGCACGTCCAACATCCGCCTTGACCAACCTCTTCATTCTGATTTCTATGGCCAAGGCATCTCAAGGCGCAGGGGCCACCTTTGTGCTGGCCCTTTCCTTTGCCTCCTACCTCGCCATGCATCCAATTTTGCTCTTCCCGCCCCTTCTACTTCTATGCTATGATGCTCGAGCGACAAAGACGAAGTCAACACCACCTCTGCTGACATTTGCCGTGGTTCATGTGTTGGCTCTGGCGGCTGCACTGGGAGGCTTGCTTTATCTCTCAGCCCTGCTCATGGGCTCTTGGGAATTTTTAGCCGCCACATACGGCGTCCGGCTCCTTCTCCCCGATTTGACCCCTAACGTCGGGCTCTGGTGGTATTTCTTCACTGAGATGTTCGATTCCTTCCGCGAGTTCTTCCTGGGTGTCTTTTGGCTTCATGTCGTATCTTATGTGCCAGGCTTAACCATCCGACTCCGAAAACAGCCGCTGTTTGTTGCCACGACCCTAACCGGCATTTTTGCCGTATTTACACCATATCCCAGCATCGCTGACGGGACCTTGTACCTGTCATTGGTGCCACTATTTCGGCACCTGTTTCCCTGTAAGTTCTTGAAGCCATGAAGCGTCGCCCTGCGCACCATCTAACTATTGCGCAGTAATGCGGTACACTTTCTTGGCATCATCGACAATCCTCTACGCTTCCTTTATCGGACCGGCCTTTTACTACTTGTGGATATATGCTGGTTCCGGAAACGCGAATTTCTTCTATGCGATCACCCTAGTATGGAGCTTAGGATTGTCCGTCATCGTTGGAGACTCGTTATACGCAGCGTTGAGGGATGAGCTCGATGTGGAAAGGCCTGAGTTACGAGGAAAAGAAGTAAAACGAATCTAATTGCAAGCAGAGAATGCCCCAAAACACTTTCAGCACCATTCTCGACACCAGAACATGCGTACGCAACTCTGACGCATTTCCATGCAGGTTCTGATTTTTCACGCTGCACGTAGTACAAACTACGCCATGCAGCGCCCACTCGTAACACGTGATATCGCGATCCTCTTGGCGCGACGCGTGAATATCCCATTGGAACATGCGATCTATCACTATGTCGTGCAACCCTTCTGCCTAGCCTTTTTTGACGGTGTGTTTGTGTCCACTATGAACTCTCATAACTTTGCAGCAAAAACTCAAAAACGTGAGAAAATACCTTCTGTTTTGCTCCTCTCCCCAGGAAATTTGTTCACAAGATCCTCTTTCACTGTCTCTCACGAGTCCCTTCGTGCAGCTACTACGCCCATAAATAATACCACCTTTGCCCCGCCTTTCTTTCTACTCTAGTTGCGAGAAATTGGCAACTTCTTTACGGCATCCTTCTTTGAGTGCTCCTCCTCACAAGACATCTCCAGCACTTATCACCAACAACAAAAGCCCCACGCTTCATCTACACAGCCATTATGTCCACGGATAATGAAGCCGTCTCCTTCTCCGCTCGCGAGATGCAAACCCTCGCTCTCGCCTGGCAATGCATGGAAACTGAGCCTAAGGTACCTAACTTTCGCCATTCCCTTCACCCACCCCATCATCTTAAATTTCTCTACTCTCACTCCCTCTCATCCCAAACTCACATGACACCCCCAAACTTTCCTTTCCCTCGTCTAAACCCAGCATTAATCTCACTCCCAGATCGACTACACCAAATTAGCTCGCCTAGCCGGCTACACCGAAGGCTCAGCTAAAGTCACTCTTGGAAACATTAAACGTAAAATGAAAATACACGCATCCGGTCTCGAGGCCAACTCCGCCCCAACCACCCCCAAGAAACCTGCCACCGGCACCGGCAAGACTCCGAAGAGCTCCGGCAAGCGTGCTGCCTCCGGCGCCACTTCTGGGGAGTCTCTAAGCAAGCGCGGGAAGAAGGTTGCCACTGGCGGTGCTGGTAAGAAGGGTAAGGGCAGGGTCGAGGATGAGGAGGACGATGAAGAGGAGTTCAAGGCCCCAAAGATCAAGGATGAGGAGGTGGGAGATCTGGAGAGGGGTGCGCGAGAGTTCTACGAGGCTGCAATGCGGAATAATAGTCAAGGCTACCATCTCGGTATTGGCGGTGGAGATGGCGATGGCATTAACGATGAGCTGGGCGAGTAGTTGGAAGAATAGGTGGACTCCGTCCTAGAGCATAAAGTTGGTCAGGCTGTGATTTGGGATGAATGGTATGGAACGGTGTGCTTCCTGGATTGCTGGGGTGGTGTAACGAGAGACTTTGGTGACTGATTGAGGGTATATTGAAGGATTGCACTATCCCTGCATTTCTTTCCACTTTTTTTATAATCCTTAGTGAGAGAGATTCGGCATCGACTTATTGCATCCAGTGGCATACGGAATACGTATCAGAAAGGTGTTCAATCGGTCAGCGATCGTAGGTCAAGGCTCCGCTAGTGGACTTGTGCACATCTCACTGCAAGATGCACTTAAATGAACAATAAATTTCAGTGATCAAGCCTCAGGGATGCCTTTCTTTTCACCATCTACAAGCACATTATTACAGTGGTGGATATATACCACATAGAGTCCAGGTGTGTCACCCCAGCCAAACTCCCCGTACCTAAACTCCAAATAGTGCGATACTCGCAGCTAGATATACATTCCAACATCTTCCGGAATAGCAGTCTTTCACTTTTTAGCATCATGCGCTAAGTCCCATTCTCAACAGGATCATGACCCATCTCCCTACAATCCTGTGATAGCCTCAAGCAAAACATCCATAGTCCTCTCACCCACGCCCTCTAACCCCTCTCTCAAACACCACGCAACGTCGCTCTGTACACCCAACGGAATATACACTCCTCCCTCTTCCCTCTTAACCTCCATTCTCTCGCCCAGCCTACTCGTATGCTCCCACTCCATCGCCGCAGACTCCGCATTCTCAATCACCTTCGCCGGAATCCCACACATAGCCGCACAGTGCATACCAAAACTACCCTCTGCAACACCATCTTCAAGTTTATATAGGAACGTGATGGATCTGGATTCATCATTGACATGGATCGCCATTCGCTTGTTCCGGACTTCAGGATGATTTTCGAATTCTTTAGCCAAGGAACGGTAATGCGTTGCGAAGAAGCCGACACAGCCAACCCTGCTTGCGACATCATGTAGCACAGCTTGGGCTACTGCAACACCATCGTACGATGAGGTACCGCGGCCAAGTTCATCGAGGATGACGAGGGAGCGGGGTGTGGCTTCGGAGAGGATTTTCTGGGTTTCGGATAGCTCGACAAAGAATGTGGATTGTGAGGCAAATATATTGTCGTTGGCACCTAGGCGCGACATGATACGATCAATGGGAGTGAGGGTTGCAGAGGTACAAGGCAGATAGCAGCCGACTTGGGCGAGGATGACGGCTATGCATGTCTATTCATCTATTAGTTACGCTCTTCCAATCATGAAGGGGAGATTATGGTGAAAATTTACGTACCATCCGCAAAATTGTTGATTTACCGGCCGCGTTCGCACCGGTAAGCAAATCGATATTTGCGGTATCACCGCCAAGTCTAATATCGTTTGGAATAAAATCGGCAACAGTATTCAGCATACAAGGATGGCGGAGCTCTTCGAATTCAATAACAGTGCGTCTAGAATTCGAGAAGACTGGACGGCAACCCGGTTCACCGAGCGAGGCGGATGCTTTGGCGAGACTGATCAGGCAATCTAGTTGAGCAATGATCTTAACTGCGGCGAGCCATGTAGCATAGTCTTCGTCGAACCTTGCGCAGAATCGGCCAGCGACGTCTCGAACAATCTGGCCGTGGGTCTCCTGGACTTCTTGCAGTGATCTGACGAGCTTTCGCAGTTCAGGAGAATAGTATCGCTTGACCTTGGCCGTGGCGGACATCTGGTCCCAGTTCCCAGGAACCTTGACCTTGTTCGGGACCTCGAGCTGATAGATCTCCTTTCCGTTGTCGCGGAAGACAATGGCGGTTGAGTTCAAGTCCCTGCGAGCTTTTTTGAGCAGCTTGTCAAGGTTTGCCAGGCAATTATCGATCTCTTCCTTGCTGTTGTCGAAGTCCTCTTCAACACCAGGAGTAGGAACAAGGATACCTTCAGTCTTTGCGGCTTCACGGTTAAAGGCAGACTTCCAACTACTCAATGCAGCGGCGAGATCCGGCATGGAGGAAATGAGTTGCCCAATAACGCCTTCTCCTTCACCAACTTGTTTCAGAAGACTCATGGTATACTCGATCTGCTCAAACCCTTCCAGGACCTTGAGGAAGTCTTGGGCTTTACAGCGACCTGCGTGGACACGAGAGATCAAGCGTTCAAGATCAGGAAGCTTGCTCAGTGAAGACGTAAAGCTATACATGATACTCGTATCGGCGTTGAGGGCGTCAACGGCATCCAGACGGGCATTGATCTTCTTCGCATCAGCCAATGGGTGGCAAACCCATTGCCGAAGAAGGCGCTTCCCAAATGGCGTGATGCAGCGGTTGAGCATGGCAAACAAAGTTCCCTCTGCAGAGCCATCGAAGGTATTGGCAAAGATCTCAAGATTGATCAAGCTCTGCCCATCAAGGACTAAACTAGTTGCCTTTCGGATAGGATCGTACCAAGCGAAATTTCCCAGGGTTACCAGATCACGCTCGATCTTGAGAGTGCGCAGATATTGCAGCAAAGCGCCGAAAGCGGACATGACCAATTCCTGCTCCCGGGCTTCGCGCAGCACAGGTGGCCATGCTTCAATGTTATCTTCGGTGGGAGATTCGAAGTATCCGCAGGCTTCAACTTCACGGACGGTGATGTCAGCCGGCCAGAATTCTTTAGTTGGCTTCAGTGCGTTCCAGATAGTTGTAGGGCCAGTGTTATTTTTCAAAATGCGCATCGCTTTGGCCGAGATGCACGACTTTTCCAACAACAGTTCACCAGGCCGCATTTGAGCGATGAGAGTCTCAAACTTAGTCATGTCGATGTCGTCTGTGAACTCGCAAAGCTGAAATTGGGCGGTCGCGGTATCCACGAAGGCGACTCCAAAAGCGGGAAGGTTGTCCCGGTCAATCTCCTTTATGGCCATGCAATATGTGGACATGTCATCCTGAAGCATACCAGTGTCGACGAGAGTGCCAGATGTAAGTACTGAAGCCAGCTCTCTTCGAATGACTTTGTCATCTTTGCCTTTCTTGGCCGGCTTCTTCTTGTCCCCCCTCTCACGCATCTCCTTGGCGAGAGCGGACTCCATTTGATCAACCCTCGCGACCTTGAAGCCTTTTGCAACAAACTGGCTAGCCCACTGATCTAACGAGGCTTCAGGGACGCCCACCATCCTCATGTTGACGCGATCGGTGAGCTTTAGATCGAATAACTGGTGACCAATCGTAGCATCATTCTCATAAAGCTCATAGAACTTTCCCTTCTTAAAGAAGACGATACTATCCCAGAACTTTTGCTTAATCTCCCAGTATTGCTTCTCGAAAGGGGAAAAGTTGTTCCATGCCATTGGAGGGATGTAGATTGTGCGAGGGTCATATTCTGGGTGATCGGGAGCATGTCGATCAGCATCCAGAATGTTCGCAAGCCATGGGTATCTCTCCTCTGGGTCAGATGCAGAAGGCCGGGCCTTTGCTATCTTGCTTGTCGTCTTCTTAATTGGATGACTCAGTGCACGAGGATTGAGGGGCTCGGGGTTGTCAGGATCGTAGGTCCACTGCTGCGCAGTTGATGTTCCTGTCATAATGATATCTTCATCGTCATCATCATCAAACAGTGCTCTCGGTGGGGAAGAAGCAGGAGTAGCCTTCTTGTTTGATTTAGAGGGCGGTAGTCGTTTTCGCTTCTGAGGAACGACAGCATCGGAATCGGAGTCGTCCGGGACGACAAAATCGTCCATGTCTATTTGGTCAGCACTTTACCATGCTATGGTGGAATAGTGTGTTGCATACCATCCTCGAGCATAGCCTCCTGGGTGGTAGCATCCAGCCCAAACTCATCATCAGAGTCTTCAAGGCTCACCCGCCGCCGCTTAGTAGCTCTTCCCTTCCTTGCGTTATTGGCAATGGGTTGGAAAACCTCATCCCCGTCGTCATCGGATTCAACATAACTGACGGTTTTCTTAGCCTAAGGACTGTCAGCTAGTGATCTCACATCTCCGTAATCCAGGGCTCTTACCTTTCTCGAAGGGCTACTCATGGCGACAACTACAACTTCTGACGAGACACGATTAGCTCCCTCTGCTGTAGGATTGACAGATGAAGGCAGACCATTCTCCTTGTTCTTTCCTAAACCAGCGTCCTGCTCCACCCGGATTGGGCTCGACGGTCCTGGTGCATCGCTGCTCGGCGTCGGAGTGAGAGTGGTCGCAGGACCAGCACTAGTGAAGGTCTTCTTAGAAAGGGTTGACGTTGGGGTCCTCCTCCCAAGTGTAGAATCTGAAGGTGCCGGACTGGGTGAGTTGGTAGATTTCTTCTGGAAGAAACCTAAGATGGATTTCTGACTCTTGGTGGACTGAGAGCCTGAAGGCGGCAGCTTTTTCTGAGACGATGGCCGAGGAGTCGACATTTCGCTACCTTCAATCCCCCGAGCCATGGAAGCGGTTGGGAAAAGCAATTGGAGAAAGTAGCGAGAGGAGGGAGGTTGAGAGAACGTCGCTTCCATTCAAGGAGAGACGCGACGCGACCGCGACAATGTGGCTTGGCGCCAAGATATCTATTGATGATGTAATGGCCCAACTCGACGCGTCGTGCCAGCCTGCCAGCAGCCAGCGGAGTGGAGCAGTAGATCTGTATTTCTATCCCTATGAACCTCTCGTCTGCATAGATACGAACACAGATAATCTCAACAAATCCAGCCCTTTAGAAGTGGGTGAATATTCGGTCTAGGCCCATAATCCAAGGATATTCGTGTTCTTCGGCTGATTGTCCAAGTTTCTTTGATCACTTCAATCAACTTGGCTTCCGAGACGTCTGCCTCCTATTCAATGTAATTTAGGACTTGCCAATAGAATTCACCCAACCCCACCGTGAACAGTTCATCTTAAAGCAGAAGTCAGTAGGGACATAATCAGTAAACATTGAAAGAACTCTTTTGCACCCGAACCGTGAGCATTTCATCTCCAGAAAAGAGAGCCCACCTATTGGGGGGGGGGTCGAATGCCTCGACTATGGCTGGTACGCAATAGTATCGTTCATCTTCTCATCGTCTTGGGCATTTTCAGGGAGCTACACTGGCCACTGAAAACGGGGTCAGAGATAACATCTGTCAGAGCTCTAGTGCATAAGCGCTCAACTCGCTCCTCAAAACTAGTGCTAACGCAGGTGAGAAAGTTAACAATTGTTAAACTGCATTCTAATATGTAGCATCATAGCGCAAACTAGAAGCCGTTTCGCTTCTTGACGAAAATGGCGCACGACACGACCTAGTAGATCCTACGCACAGAACTACCATTCATCTTGCATCTATGCATGAGCGCTACTAGTTATTCGATAACTATACGAAGGCGGCAGGTATTCGACAATTTTGTAGCTTAAAGGCCATAAAACAATACTCCCTTCATTCTGGCCTTCCCTAACTGGCTTCACAGTGTAGTGCAATACTTTCTCGACATTGGAGTAAACAAAAGAGTTGTGTGGATCAGCAAGGGTGCACTCTAATGATTGAGAAGGCGACTATGGGTCATATAGACATTGTTCCTTGATCGCGGCCGGTATCGAGGCAGACGAGTGTGCTAGGATTGGACAATCCGCTTTTGATATACTACGAAACACAAGTCGAACATCTTTATTCAGTATCTCATAGGCAAGGCTCTAGACCCTCGAATACCACTTGTATCAATCTCCCTCTAGAAGCCCAGCCACAACCTTGTCGAGACTACTTTTTAGCCCACAACATTTAGGCATATCTATTTCTGAGTTAAGAGTTAACGCGTCCAAAGAAAGGTAAGAAAACACCCCACTATGTTCAATGCCTAAGCTATCGTTAATTTAGTTAAGCTTCGGGGGCTGAGCGACATACGTCCCACTAACGCACAGGAAACGTATTTGCCAGTCGCCCAACTCCTTCCTATTTTTTTCCGAAGCAAATCCGGACTGGACGGACAAAGGCTAGAAAGACCTCTCCGCTACCTACGCTACACTCTCCTTAGGTGTCACTCGCGGCAAGTCCTAATGATGCTGGTCGAACTCCGCGAAGGCATTCTATTCTGGATCGCAATTCTCAGTGCACTAGCAGTTCATAGTGAATTTTGGGAGCTTCACAATGAATGCTGATCGTTGTTGGATATTTTTAAATTAGCTGAAATCATTCTAGATGAGAATATCGCCTCCCTTACGGATCTAAAGCTACACATATCCATACATGGCCTCGTTGCTAGACTTGCAGCATGTTACCACATAACGCGGAACACAATTAGAGTGGAGTCTGCCCATCAAACCACTTGCTAGAATCCAGGATGTCAACAGGATACCAAATTCTAACCTAAAGTACCCCACCATATTGCACGTTAGATGGGAAGATGCAGTATTGATACTCTGCACCTTCTGTCCTACGCCCTCTGAACAGTCCCTACCCCGGGCTCAATCCAACCCTGCGTAACCGCCAGGTTCTCAAAACACGGCGTCAACTTCTCCTCCGTCATCACCAACAACTGATTCAAAGAATCCAACCTCGACACTTGCCCAGGAAAGTAAAAATGAACAAAAGACCGTCCATCGGGTGTGTACTCGACCAGCGCAACGCCGATTTTGCCGGCGCGTTCAGCCCCGATGGTGACGACTTCGAGACTCTTTTGGGAACCGAGGAGGGCGCGGGCGTTGGCTTTGGGTGGGTGGATTAGCCGGTTAGGGCTTTAGGCGAAGGAGGGAAGGATGGAAGTAGCTTACCGAGGATACGATGGCGATAATGTTCAAATTGTGTTTGTTCGTCGTTCTTGGTTGAGGATGCGAGAATCTTCTCACAGTTTTGTCGTATCTGCATTACGTTTTGCGAGATGGTCGCAATAGTGATTTTGGTGAGAGACATCGTAATGCTCGGGGGGGGTTTTTATTCCGTGGTCGCAGTCTCAGGATCAAATCTATTGTGGATGTCCTACTGTGGTGTCTGGTTTCTCGAAAAGATTTGAACTAAGTGATGCAAGTAGGCGTATCATGACTGCTTTATGGAAATTATTTCATGTGGGGCGGATATGGAGAGATCAAGCCCTCGTCCTTGGCGGGCGTTTCTAACGTCGCGACATTGGCTGCCGGAGAAGCGAAGGCTGAGGTGTTGTGTGATGGGGAATGCAAAAGTCATGCTCTTGAATATCTCGACATATATCTTCTGATTCTTGTTACGAGTAGAGGGATGAAGCCAGTTGTGACGCGCTCGTTGACCCAAACCAGAACTCCGGATCACTTCCGCCCACCCCCAGAAGAACTGCTAAAGCAAAATCCTTAGATTTCAAAGCATGCTATTTGTGACCCTCATACGGGCAAAGAATTGCCAGACGTGGATGCTGCAGCAAAGACCTGCACCCTGTGCACCCATCCTCAACCTGCCTATAGATTTAACAGAGGTCACCACCTTGAATAAGGTTGTCGGCTTGGAGCCCTAACTAACGTGTTCCACCACCTAATTAACCGGCAAATCGGCAAACCAGCCAACACACCAAAAACCCGAGAAATCGTATCTTGATATCTCAACCAGCGACTTAATAAAAATGCCTAGAAATAAATATCTAGTCGTTAACACCCTCTTTAAGACTCTTGTTAACCTTTTAGAGCAATAAACCTAGCCATTGTTAAGATTTTCGGTTTCTAGCCTCTATAGCAAGCCAAATTGCTATTTCGCAAGGTCCACTTTATAAAGTTAGATATACGTCTTAAAATAAGCATAAGAAGATAACGCTAAAATTATAGGCTTTGTTATTAAGTCGGTGTTGAGATATCAAGGTACGATTTCTCGGATTCTTGGTGGGTCTTGGGCTGGCCGGTTTGGTGGTTTAGCTGGTTAGGTGGTGTAACACGTCACACTCAAACCTGTCTCCTTGGTCAGTCCTTACCTAGCCTAGATTCTCACTCGACTACCAGGCTGAGTTTATTATAGGAAATGGGGAAATATTGATGTTCATATACTACAACAATTAAGATTTCTTAATACGGGAATAATTTAGTAGGATGGGTCGAGGTCTGAGTGACGTAGAATGGAAGAGGCTTGTGTGAGAATATCTTATCAAACAGCGACGGCAAAAGGGCGCGAGAGAGGATCTATGGTGGGAAGTCTTCAGGGAAGTATTTTGGAGATATTTTATGACTTAAGTGTTGAGACACATGGTGAATCTACGGGTACATGCCTTTTGAGAATACTTATGAGGCTCATCGGACCAACTTTAGATCTGAGCATTAAGTCTTCCTTAGAACGAAAACCTCACACACCAGGAATCCGATATACCCCATCACCATAATCACTCCAATGCATCTTGACCATTGCCCCAGCCGTCTTCCACACCAAACCAGTCCGGTAAACAGAGCTGAAGAAGCTAGCATCACTGCAATCTCAATCCTCTTCAACCCTTGCCCTTCATATTTATCGCCCCATCGTCCCGCATCCACCATGACAATTCCCAGGCACAGACTGAGCAAAAATATGTTGCTGCCCGCTGTATTCGCAACCAGGATTGCAAGCTCCCCACGTTTGCCGGCCATCAGTGCAATAAACTTTTCAGGAAGCGTAGTCGCGATTGAAAGAACGATGATACCAAAGAGGTAATCCGAGCCTCCAAATTCGTCGACGATGTTCGTCGCTGCGTGAGAGAGAATATATGACGAGAGTGAGAGCGCCAGAAACCCGATAACTAGGTGGACGATGTGGTATTGAAGTCCATGTCGAAGGGTAGGAGCAGGTGGAGGCGAAGGTGATACAGAGTTTGGCCGAGTCGGAGGTGGAGTGCGGTCGAGCAATGGACGTGTATCAATGAAACTGCCTTGTGAAGACGCCTCAGAGTCTGAGTCGGAGTCGTTGTCCTCGGGTGGTCGAATTCCTCCTTTACTGATGGCCCAAATAATCGATACCGCGTAGGCTCCAAAAATAAAGAGGAAAGCAGCCCCAGAAATCGTCCATATGAGAGAAGGCTCTGGGGAGATGAAAAGAACCAAACTGACAACACCCGTTAGTCCAAGAAGAAGGAGGGAGTAGATCTTCGAGCTGCGATCAAAGTCCGTTTCACCGTCATCCTCGCTTCCTCCCAGACTTGATTTAAACAGTAGTCCCAAAGAGAAAGCTCCCAGGATATTCGCAATAGAGCTTCCAATAACATTTCCTAGTGCCAAAGACTGCCTGGAAAGCCCCAAAGCGGCAACCACAACTCCCAACTCCTCCCATTCGGTGCCAGCCGTCAGGAGTGCTACGACCGCCGCTGATACCCCGATCCTCCTCGCAACCACTGAGGTATGCTGGATGAACTTGTCAGCACCATGTTCCATCAAAAACAGCGCAGCTATAAAAGCCGCGACGTTAAACGGGACCTTGTCGATGTTGGTGCTTGCCATAGTTGGATGCTACGGTGGTTGGCGTCTGTTGTAGTGGTGGGAACGCATCGCAGGTGAACGCGCGTCTAGTTCTTATTGTTTACCTTTGTAGGTTCACCTTTCCTTCGGCGACGCCGCTTGGCATGAGTGGGATGGAGGTGTCCGGGAGTATTGAAAAATTGAAAGCAGACATGATTAGCGAAGAAGTGTGGCTTGGGCGGGCATGTGGCTGTGTGTGTGACAGAGCGGGTGGTTCATCAATCTTTGAGGATGTGAGGTTTGGAGATGCCATTACTTCTTTGGCGGGATTTGAAGTCGGTGAAAGGTGCTACAGGATATTCAATGCTGGGTGACATGCAATCCATTCATACAAATTAGAATCTCGCGCCACTATCATCTGGTAGTGCTTGAATCCCACAGAGAGAAACGAACGATCCACCCCTCTTTGATAAGCACCGAAGCCACAACATCAAAAAGGCCTTTGCAAAACCTATCCACTCCCCAGATCAATGTCTACCCAGTCTTCTCCGCAGTCTCCTCCGAATGTCTTCCCCCAAAATTCCAACCGAGGAAGTCTACTTCAACACGAACTCAACCTGGGTCCGTGAAACCATCGTGAGTGGGGAGGGTTCTATTATTAGCACACTCCGTTCTCATGCAAAACGAAACCATGTAATTTCCGCTTCCAATCTCGCCGTTGATGCCCCTCTTCTTTCTGAAATTTTGAGATGAGGATTGTCCTGTGAAAGGATCCCGTGGAGGCTAGGTATGAGAGTGAGATCGTGGGGAGGGTAGAGGTTCTGTAAGCTGTGTGGGCAGTAAACATGCTCAAATTTTCTTTCTTATTTCGTAGAGTATCTTATTCTATCTTGAGTTCATGGACACAAAATGAACTTGTGGAACTGCAGAAACGCAGACTTGTAACGTGCTTGTGTGCAGTGTAAGAGAAAGAAAACGCCACCCAGTAATGCTGATGAAACCGTTGCCCAAACTCCAAAGACGCCCGTCCGCTTTGTCCCAAAAGATACCGTTACAGGGTATTACTATCGACATCCAAGTTTCTGATTAAATGAAGCAGGTGAGAAGAAGATTCCAGTTGTGTCCATAGTAACGCGTTCGAGATATCGACCGCACAAGAAAGGGAAGTGGGGTGTTCGAAATCGGGAATCGTTGGGTAATTACTGTGCCTCAGGGCGCCAGACTTCCTTAGAGCCCTTCTTGCCCCAAAACTCTTCAAACCAGTCCTTGCACTTTCCGCCAACCCAACAGCCCGCGAAATGCACCATCAAGTCGCCGTCACGATAGCCCATGGTGTTGCCGCCTTGGACGTATGCGTTGAATTTGCGTTGCGGGTAAATGCCGACATGGTTCCGGACAAGTTGGTGTTCAAGCATAAGATGTTTGAGCGCGTCCTGCTCAGCGCCAACGTGTTCCTTGCCCATCAACATGGTGTAATCCGTCATCATTTCTAGTATCCATCGTGTGAATGCGGTTCGTCGGAAGAAAACGCTGCCGGTGTTAACACTCTGGTGGTCTTGGGTGATGAGGATGTCGATGTCTTCGACGCGGAAGTCCGAGGGAGTTGAGATGTTGGTGGGGTGGTCCTTGAGTTGGCCGTCGAGGATAGGGGTGCCGCGCATGAGGCCGCTCTCGATGGCGTTGGGAGCGATGATGGCGTCAACGATGGAGGTATCAGGAGACATGATGATGATATCGGTGTCGATGAGCCATACCCATTCAGCGGTTGGGTGCAGTGAGAATGCCTCGGCCACAGCGGGAATCTTTGACCATGTCTGCAGAGGAAAGCTCGTTAGCACGCGTGCCACACTGAGGCTGCGAAGTGTCACGGGGAGGAGACATGAATAAAATTACTGACCCTATGTGCCTCTCCAATATCGTAGCGACTCGTGTTCAGCCAAAGGTTCGTGAAGCCATGCCTGTCACAATACTTCTGTCGGTCGTCAAGCACTCTTTCCAACACATTCGGGATCGCGCTGTTGTGGCCTCCGCCATCGCTCGCCGTCAGAACGATGACATCTCGGTCCTTCGGGACCCTCGCATATCCGTTCCAACCTTTCGCGGTGGGGGGGACACTGAAATCCCATTCTGGCTGAGACTTGAAATACCCAGGCTGCGGCTTGTCGTTGTTGACCTCGATGGGTGCCATGGGTTCAGCGGGGCCATAATTTCGATAATATTCGTACGGCACATCGCCGTAGAATTTAAAGAGGACGACGAAGAGGGTGACGATCGAGATGGCGAGAATTATGGACCTGTGGAGCGTCAGTGACTCCAGTATCTGGCCAGAAAAATCGTGAAACAGTTGCTGCGAGAGCCGGGACGTACCGCCGAGGGGCCACCTGGAAAGCCTGCATTTTGGAGGTAAACACGTTGTCACCCAGAACCTTGAAGTTTGGTAAAGAGCGCAACATGAGGAAACGAATGACGCTTCAACGGCTTTTGAGGGGGAAACGTAGGATCACGGGAAATAAGCAAGGGGCAAGTGGAGGAGATGACTGAAATGCATGATGTGGAAAAGCGAACGCCCCCTTTGCGGGCGCAATGCCGCAGCATTACATTGCTGAGATAGGATACGATCCTGCGGCTTTCAAGAGACATGGCTTGATCCGTTGGCGCCAACACTCTATTAGCGTTGATCAGCAGCCCAACAAATTGTTTCTTTTCAGCCGGAAATGGGCTGACTGAGCAGATGAACGTTGTCGATTGGATGTTTTCGCATTCTTTCCGAGCCCTAGTCTCGACGGTCCTCTCAGCGTGTGAGCTGGTGGCCTTTTTTTAAAAGGCGGCCGCTCCGTGCAACAACCGAACACGGCCCTATGATTAAACGCTTCGGCAGTGATCTGGATCACAATCGACACATTTGGCGCAATGTGGTTCCGCACCGAGCCGAATGGTACAAAGTCAGCCATGGCTGAGGATGCTTTCCAAACAAAGAACGTTGTGCCTGAGCCGCAAAGCCGCTCGCGACATCCAACAATACTGGTGGAGTGACAAAGGCGGACCGAAACTGGAGTGGTTGCGCCTGTCGCCACCTCGTATCACTTGGAACATTCACTAAGCTGAGCAATGGCAAGGTGACAGCTTTAAAGCAGTGAGAACTTCTGCCTACTGGCAACGTTACTGGCATGTCTGACTGAAGAATATAACACGCGATAACGTAGCCGTGATTGTTTAAGCTTATTTATTGATCGGTTTTGCGCAAAACAAAACTTCTTGCCTGGTGTCATATTCTTGGCTTCTGATTGGTAGGCTCGGGTTCTCTTCTCAATCAACAGCATGATCACACAGCCGGCTGCAAAGCCTGCACCCCCTAAATACCCTCTCTGCCTATAGTCTATAGGAGTCGCCGACACAAAATAGCGGTATCCTTTAGACAAGCACATCCAACTCCGTTTTGAATAGGTCTGCCTCTCCTCCGTATGTGCTCGGTAAAAGGCTCCAGTCGATCCCCATTCCCTCCACTCTATCCTTGAAGCCCTCTATTCTGTCGGAATGTCTGTCGGCATTACCTCTGGTCTGAGCATAAACCTGGTTCAAACCTGGGAAGTATTGGCAGGTGGATTCCAATATTCTTTCCAGCACGTTAATGGACTCCACTGGGAGGTGATTTCAGCAAGACGCAGCCCTTCCAAAGTTGCGGGAAGAACCGTGCTGATATTGAACGCCATCTCGAAGCTTGCATCCTCAGTACTGGGCTGGTAGAAGCCGTCCTTGAGCGCCTGGTCGATGTCGATACCGCTATCATCTCCCTCATCTGGAAGCAGGTCATCCAAGTGACTCTGCAAGGTCTTCAAATTGCAAGGTCTTCAAATTTTTAACTCCTTTGAGAGATATGCATCGAGGAACGTTGTTACTCGCCTGGACTTGTGGTTAGTAAATTCCTACAATAATTTAAATTACACAGCGTGATGACGGATTCGACGAAATATTACAGCGGCCTAGTGTAGGATGGGAGTCTGTACTGCATCATTTCGGAAAGATTCAATACGCTCTTTTAATTTTCAGGGTAGGCACGAGTAGGGTGAACAGGTGCCGTAGGCATTCCGCCCTCATCTATTAGAGCCGGGCGCTCCAAAGAATGAGAGCATTCTCCTACGACTATACGTGTTGCCAAATCGTGAAAAGGCTATTGACTAATGCGAGCAGGGAATCCTCGGTGATCTCGGGGGCTTCCAGGGGTTTAGTGCATCGCTCCACACCCAAGGGCCCACTGATGCATCACTTAATTTTGAGCTAAGGCTAAGATGAGCTTCTTTACCAGCTGAGCCGCACTGTTTGGTGTCCACAATTTTGGAGCTAGCTTCCTAGTTCCTAGAATCGTTACCCTCGGGCCCGACTTTTGAGTTCTTGGGGACCTCTTCGGGGACGCATCCTTGCATCTTACTGCCTCATGTACCGTCAGATTTGCAGAATGGGAGTACTTCATGCGCTACCGAGTGCCTACAGGGGAAAAGGGCGAGCCTGCGAAGATAAGTGACACAAGGAACCAAAAACGGAAAGAGAAATGAACCATTCTAGTGGGATTTTGAGGCAAAGGCTAGTTTATCGCTCACATCACACCAAAGGTTACTTATGGTATCTTTTTGACTCGTCAGCAATACCAGACGTGGCTTTAGACCTAGGCGTGGAATCTTACACAAGAATCTACGTAGACTTTAAGACGGAGTTTTCTCAACATCTTATGTATTGTTATGGGATGGGTGGGTGCTACTCTATTTGGTAAGAACGTTCCATCAGGGTGAAAACTTAAGTCATACTAATTTTCGTGCGCAGCAAACATTGCAGCCCCGATTATCTCCCATCCAGCCTTGGGTAGATATTACCCCATAAAGCCTTACACCTATGATCTACTTCCCATGAAGTACAGCGATGGAAACCCCTGGTTAGCAAGATGTGAATGTCGATAATTTCATTCATTTCATATAGAAGCTAGGTAGAGATAGTGTTCAGACAATTATGCTTTCAGTGAAAAAATTTCAGAGCGATTGATAGATTGGAAGATATCCTAATTGTGAATCGAGACCCTGAACTTACGGCCAGTGTTTGGCCTACCTTGATTAAGAAACACGGGCCGACGCTCCGGAAACTAGATATTGATTACTGCGAGTTATGTGGATGAAAAACTGCTCAATTTGCTAAGCTGTTGAAGAAGAGTCCTAGGCTGGAAAGTCTGAGCGTGAACATGGAGCTTGGGTTGGGCCACCAGGGGTTGTATTACTCCGGGGGATGGGTATGCGAATTTACAAGGGTATTTTTCCAATTATGAAGCTTTCCAACATTGTCGTTTTAGTCGCCAAATTTGACAGAAACAATGGCTGTAATTCGGAACTTGCGAAATCTGAAGCAGGAGATCAAACTTAATGAGCACTCTTCCATGTGCTGTAATGTAATCGACGGAAGAACATGCATGGGTGAGGATAACGGGGTTAAGACAGTAGGTTTTCTTTTCATGGTAGGAGAAGAACATTCTAGAGTGTGAATTTAACTTTCTCTGCGGTGTACCCATTGGCGAAGATATGGAGGTTCAAGGCAGAGTTGATTTGGGCTGCTAGAGAACACAAGGGCAGGTTTACAGTAACAGAGGACATTGGGCAAGATCTCCCGGAAAACCACCTTTTCTTTGACGCCTTTAGATAAATAGGTTATTGCCTTATTCCTGGGTATTTATTACAGCTTTTGCAAAGGCTCATATATGTCATCACAACTTTATATGTACCGGACAAACCAAATATCACGAAATTGCCCTAGCTGGAAAGGGATGGTTGAAGGCAAACCCCGAGCATAATAGTAGTTATGTTCAAACACTGCATACTGTTTCGTAGTCCACGGCTATCAAAAGATGTCTTGGAGACAGCAGAAGCATCAAGAACAGGTTTTTATTTCAAGCTAGATGCCCTAAACTACGGCTATCTTCCAACAATTTTTATCCACCGTCGGAACCATGACAATCGCCGATTGACTGGAAACGTTCACGAAAGCTTCCCTTGCAGACTAAACACACCATATAGCTAATCGCGAACCAAAGAAACTCGGATCATCAAGGCCGCATTTCTGCACTCCTCCCTCCACTTAGTGCGACTAAACCAACAATATCAACACGGTGTACCTTCATAGAGCGAACGCCTACTTGTCTTCCCTCCATCAAGCTGCCAGTTCTTTATTCTTCCGAAAGCCTCAGACCTCTTGGACCTCCTGGCTAGGTCTGGGTGTGCTCTCGGCACTCTCGTCCCGATACTCACCGTCGCCGCCTAGCAGCGAATACCTCGGTCCCTTCCCCATGCTCTTCGTCACTGGGTTTGCAAGAAGACCATCGCGCTCCTCCCGCTGGGCGCAATGCGGGCACTCTCTTTGAAAGCCAATGCTTGGGAGCGACAGTTTCTTCCAGTTGAAACTCGCGAGGAAGAGATAGGCGTGGATGCACCTTAGGAAAGCGAATTAGTGATGGAGTTCCATGAATTGGTGTCATCTTCTAGATCGACTGGGCCTAAGACTGAAAGAAAATATAAAGCTCACATATTGACCATCAAGAACACACTACCATAGTACTCCAATAAAAGCATGGGGCCCGGTCTGATATGCCATCCGTAGTAGGTCCTCTGGGTATCGATGATCCAAAGAGGAAGCAAAACACCCAGATCTGCAAGGCAAATCGCGAAATCCCAAATGGGATGAGTGAACCATCTACACGACTTCTTCTTGATGTCATTTCGCGGCCGCAGCAAATGCGCTACACCGTTGAGGAATGAGAAGAACATCGGGATGATCCCCATCGGTGGAATTATGCTGCTGAGGATTCCCGCAGGGAGGAGGAAGGCGAAGGCCGGGAAGAAGGTGAGGACATTGATTTTGTGGAGCGTGGGGAAAGCCGTGCTTGACTCCATGAAGCTGGTACTGGATAACTCCAGATGGTTGTATACTTATAGAGTTGGACGTGTAACGAGGAGCGATCGAACCTTGAGTTCAAGCGTGAATTCAAATATCCCCTTTATTCCCTAGGCAACAACATTCGAAGGCGGTGTAAGACAGCACGCGTGGCTTCAGCCTTGTCTCTGCCTATCATTTGGCCTTTCGATATCGACTACCCTGCAATGTACGTTTCAGGCAGTGCGAAGGATTGGGGTGCAGGTCGTCCGACCAATCAGATTGCAGGATTGGGGCTGTGTTGTGTTTTGGGTGGTGGGTTGAGAATAACAAAGACGAGAGGTAGAGCAGATTGGTCGAGGAATGTTTGCGACGGAAGCCAAGACACTACTCCAGGTTTTGGAGTCTTAGGAGGATAGATGAGTGGGCCGAGAAAAGCGTGTAGTTTTTAGGCGCCCCGTGTCCATGACGAAGATAAGTCACGATAAAATTGCGAACTACCCAGGTACGCAGTGCGATGTCGCAGGAAGCAGCTTTGCATAATCTTTTTAGATAGACTTTACGTTGAATTTTACAGTAAATTCTTAGTGATGGTCCCTGGCTGTTTCACCCGCATCTTCAACAACCTATCCGTTTTACAGTTTCTCGGACCCTTACCTGAACCTACATAGCCGATTTCGAAACCACCACATCACATTTTCAGCTCCTGAGTGCAAAGATTGACGATGAGGTCTCATGTTGATCGGGAAGAGATATACACACTTAAATGCTGACAGTATTTACAATCTTCAAGCCCACACTCCGACGCATTTTACACCCACCCATAGATTGCGCATTTGGCTCTTCAAATTACCGCATGCTATCTACATTATTTAAGCGCTACCGTCTATCAGGAAGAATGCTAACAGTTCGAGTCACGGTTTCAGTCTTCGTAACCCTCACGCTCGTTATCGTAACTGTTACAGTTCTCGTCGTGTCTGCCGGCGCGGAGGTAATAAGACACGAGCAGGCGGATGTGATGTCGGCAGGCTTTCCAATTCCCGGACCAATCGAGATCTGGATTTGAGGGTTGCGCTTCCGGACGGGGAGTTCCTTCGGGCAGGTAATATCGTAGAAGGTGTAGGGAGACATGGGGTTGTAGTTCACGTTATCGGCTCTGTGTTGGAAATACTTAGCTGAGGGGTTTATAGGGCTTAGTAGTACAGAAAGCTTACGATGAGATGTCAAAAAGCATGCAGTTCGCTTCTCCATAACCAAAGCTCTTGCACTTCGTGTCTGCTTTACAGGCGGCTTGGCAAGACGTGAAGTTGTTCTTAGTACCCGTAGAGTCGAAGTAGTAGGCGGCAGTAGTCTTGGTGTATCCGACAAGACCGCAAGGGGCGGTTGAAGACGGAGCTCTTTATCCTAGTCAGAAATTTGGCCCAAGAAGTACTCTAGCAATACATACGGAGTTGAGGTAACCGGTGTGGGTGGTGGAGTTGACGATGGCGGCTAGGGAGATTAGTTTGATTTGGAAAAAAAAATTGAACGCTTCTATTGGGTAGAAACCAACCTTGGGTGTTGAGCTAGAGGGCTTCGGAGTCGACTTCGGGGTTGATGAGGGTGGAGCCGGGGTCGTGCTTGGAGGTTCCGTGGAAGGAGGGTACAATGTCGTCCACACAGTCTTTTTAGTGGTTGTAGTTGCGCGAGCAGTATATGTCTCAGTCTGAATAGCTGTGCCAGTCTTTAAGAGGCTACTACAGAACAACGATGCCTCAGCCGTATGGTCTCCAAAGGCATCCAACCCACAGCTAGCAGCTATAAGATTGTTAGCGGGATATTCCACTTGGTGGTCATCTTACAATCAGTAGGATTTGGGTTAGGGTAAAAGGTGAATGTTGGCTGTGGCCGCCCGATGCTGAGCCAGGGTGGTTGCGGATCTCGTTTGTGCACTGGGGAATTTGTACCGTCAGGGCCACCTGGATATACTCCTGGTCGGCTTGTAGAGTGCTCACGTTGTCTCCCTTCAATTACCGCGCCATTGACACTTGCTGCCAGGGCAACCGCGAAGAGTAGAGCTGCCTTCATGCTGATTGATAACGGAGCCTTAGCTGCTGAAGAAGTGTGGTGGGGGTATACCGAACAGGAAGGCTGACGAGCAATAGGACGGACTCGATCTTTACTTATAGTTCAGTCTAATGGATCTTTCGGGTATGCTGCAGATAGTAGAAGGGAGAAAAGGAATACGACTCGTGATGTAGCATGGTTTCATTTGGAATTAGATGAGAAAGCTACACTTTGGGCGCAGTAACGCTTCAATGGATTACGTCGGGCTAGGCCGTAGCACCCTCGTAGTATTCCGCACATATTAAATGCGCTGCGAGCTTACTATGCATCAATTTGTCCATTTCGATGCCCTCTGCTTTCTGAATGTCCGCCGAACGCGATCACACCATGCTTTCAACCGGGCAGGTGGTGGCCCCGATACCATGGAAGCCCAGTGAGGGTTCAGAACAGCCGATGAAGTGTTGAGCAATGAAATATGAATCAATGTTTGGAATATAAATATCCAAAGTAAAAACAATAAGGGTATATAGATGGAAGCTTGCCTACCCTGTCAACGACCCCGCCAAGTCGCGTGTTGCTCGATATTGCAATCTGCACATCTAAAAATACTGCCGCTTCCTTTGCCCCAGGATCGCTGTTTGAGGAAAATAATTGCTATGAAAGGCCGGAAAGCTCAAGCGGCGAGGTCGTCGAGGTTTGCTACTGAGACGGTCCAGACTGTGCTTTGCGATGATTCTCGTTTGGCAGCCAAAGCGGAACTGCGCAGGTACCGGCTTTGTAGGTCGATTGCAGGCGCAGACCAGGGTACTAGAAAACCGATACCGGGCATATAGGGCTTACGTCTGCATGCACTCCACAACACTTGCGAACATATTGTTGTTGCTTTCCACGGAGCAACTGCAACATCCTGCTGCCGACGCACAACGCAAAGTTGAAAACGAGAATTGTAACCTCGTGGAGTCGTCTACTGCCGCTTGACGACGAACCAGACCCGTCTTGCGTCGCTGTTGTGGAACCTGCAGTGGCCTTGTTCCAGAAGCTCGAGCCTTACTTCTACGGCAAATGATATGCCGAGAGCATCTCCAATATTTTTCCACGTCGTTTTTAAAAGGTTTCAAAATTATGTCGGAGCTTTTTTTTCCTGTAGGGTTCATCCTGTGATCCATCTCTTCTGCATTCACAGCTTCGACCTGCCGGCCTGATATTATCGAGTCCTTTGTTGGCCGGAGCAGCGAGGCCATGGGTTTAGAAACCACACTTGATTTTGGTCGTCCCAGAGTTAGAAGAAAGATCCAGCCTCAAACATGTCTATTTACCCTTCAGATCACTAAGTGGAGAATTGTGGTCAACCATATCCGCGGCAAGAAACTTATCTGTAGACTGTCTAGATCTACAATAAGCTTGTAGCCAAGCCTAATATAATCTTCCCGAGGTTCGGACTCTTCAATATTTTCGCATGTTGCTCCGTCGGCTACGAGTTGTCGGATTTCTTGCCCAAAGCAACACACCACGTCGAATAGCTCTTTATCTTTCTGTAGTATTTCATAATAGTCCGCGGCTTGATTGAGGCTCAGGTTGAGAAATAAAAACTGGCCAATGTACGGATATGGGATGATTCCTCACACTTCACCCCGTATTCACACAACATAGCCATTAAACTTGTCTAGACAAATGCTACCTACTGTATGTCTCCAGCAATTAGCGAACCGCGGGACAAATCTACTTTGCACTCGGTTGCTCGTCAAACCAAACAAAAGTCTTGTCTTGAGTATTCATCGTTTGACGGTGAGGGCTGGGCTTTAAAAACGCACGGCGTCGACGCAAATCCTTGTGGCGCAGGATTACCCTGGAAGTTGACGAAATTGTGACGAAATAAATTGCCTAGATGAACTTTTGGGCAACGATGACTCCGAAGAAGGTCCGTTTCGACCCATCGTAGCAGCTGGAAGATATATTAGAAGGAATTATGCGGAATGACCGCGGGATGAGACGAAAGGTCACCAAAGTGACGTCAAGGCGAACCTGATTCAGATTCTCCAGGGCTGCGTCATATCGCCGAACATGCAGCATGCCTGAAAATGGTATTTTGTCACATAATGTGGAACATAACAGAGGGTTAATTTAGGATAGAAATCTCTACATTTGTCGACCTTCTCCCCAACCCCAGGAAGAGGTTTAATGGATAATAGACTCTGCCGTGATCATGTTCCAAGTTATGTGACAACCTGCCTTGGGACAGGCCACGTGTTTACGCGCTAGCGCGAAATGAAACCCGCTTACCCCGTTGTGCCCGCCTCTTTTTGAATTGTCCACAACAAAGAGCAACCAGTAAGCCGAAGGGCTCTACGATGGGCTGCCCAATAAACCTTGGGCTTGGCGTCTCATCACTCTATATAAATCATATAGCTCCTCGGACCTCAGTCCACAATACATCACTGCTTTCATGACTTAGCTATTGGCAGGTTCTACGCGGCATTGTTACGACCCGCCCATGCCTTACAAACATTTATAGAGACTCGTAAGTGGTTCGAGAAGAAGCGTACAGAGTATTCTAGCATCGAGGGGAAGCTTGATAAAGGAATATTCACTGTAAATGACGTACCGAAGCCAAAATTGGAGGATCTTGAAATTCTCCCTTTCTGTATCTGTCCGGAGCAAGACTTGTACGTCAATCTAAAATACCTACTAACACACTACTAACCGATTATAGCAGCATCGTGTGGGTATACATCGCCGGCTTCGATCGAGTGATCTTCTGCGTGATCAACAACTTCCTACTTCCATCTCTCAAAGATCCCAAGCAACTAGGAAGATCTTCCAGAAAAGGTTGGGCAACACAACCGCGACAATCTAAGATCAAACTAAATTCATGAATCAATAACGATAAATGGCGTCGATATGGTCTTGAGTTTCGGTGCTGCGAAAGTTTGTTTAGCGTTAAAGCCGACCTTGTTCCGACCAAAGCGCCATTCTGGCCTGAACAAGAAGCCATCAATCATTCGCCTCTAGGTCTATATACCAGAATTTTTCGTCAGAATTCGCAAGCGAGTTTGTTAAGGCGCGCAACATCCTGCCTGAAACCGATTCTCTATTTCGTGAGGTTGCGTTCACTTTACTATCCCAGATTTAGTGCGTCTCACGTCTATCCGCCAGCGAATGCAAGGCCGTGATTTTGCATGCATGAACAGCAGTAGTCCGGCTGGACATCAGACAGAGTTTCCGTCTAACTTCTTCAGCAGGTACCATATTGGGGGCAAACCTGCCATAAGCACACCTATTGCAACTTCGTATTGGGTTCTGGACGCCCTCGTCTTCATCACTACGGAACTCTAGTCGCGCGAGACTTTCCAGCACGCAATTCTCCTCACCATTCAAAAGGCAGACTTGAATGTCGGACTCACTTCAACACTATCATTGTTTCACTAGCGCAGATTGTTCTTGTCTGAGTCGCGGAAGACTGAGTGTAGCACACCCAAAGGGTAATGTTTTTTTTTTAGGTGGCGTCTGTAATATGAACGCAGCTCAACCTACTTCCTGGCATCTAGTCACCTACTCCGTATAACTCTGAGACTATCGAATGGCCGCTCTAAAAAGAGGGGCATGAACTAGGAGATGCGGTAGCTACAACAGAATCTGGGGAGTCATCCTCTGATGATACTCTAATAATCAATCTAAGATCGATCCTCTACCAACGCCAGGCCAAGATTCTTCGGAATTTATGCGGTTCGATGATGAAGAGCGAGTGTTTAAGGCAATTGCACACTTCTTTAAAGTTGTCCAGTGCCAAAAGTACGAGTTATTATTTCTGTGTAGAAATTTATGCTAATGATACGTAAGCTATAGACGCAAGCCATGTCTCTTAAAAGCCCACGAGAAACCCCGAATAGATATCTAGATCGATTGTCGGGCTTCTCGGTGGCGAGGTGAGAGAAGCTTGTCTGTTCGTGTCTAGTGCATTTCGAGACGTTTGCATCCGACGCTTTCTATATGGGTGACCATCTCAGTTTACTCCGTTGGCCAGGAGAAGCTCACCCATATTTCGATCTTTCTCACAGTTTTCTTGATCTTTCCCTTATATATGGGGCGCAGTGGGGGATAAATCCTCAAGCATCCAATGACAGAGTTTGCCGACGGTACAGCCAGCTCTGCCCCTGGGCTCCAATTCTCCTTCCCAAAATTTCTCGCCAAATCTCGACGACGAATTGCGAAAGCTAGGTGCAGGCGTCGCCTCTAAATAGAAAGATGCTCTTGATCCGGAAGCCGTGGAAAGACTATTCCCTAATAGAGAGAGACAAATGTCTATTGACGATATGGCCGATTGCGACAACTCCAACTACGAGCTGTTTGAGTGAATCCTCCCCTCTAATAATATCATAGTTGACTCGAAAGACGTGGCTGTTGTATGTTTCCAGTGGCACGCATTGCATGACTTTGGCTTTGCTAATTCCTCCGTGCATCTGTCTACACTACATGGCATTTTTCTCTGATCTGGCTATCTTTAGATTCGTAGCATGGACTCAGGATGTTTACTCTGCCAGCCCACGCGTATAGGTAATATTCCGAAGATTCAAATGAATACACATATGGTGTATGGCCTTGGGGTTTCCCATAAGCAGCATGGGCACCACGGCGACAAGAAATGCAGTATTCTCTGGCCGAAACAGCCTTGGGAAGACACTTCAGATGGTAGGTAACACGCCGTTCGGGATTCTCAGGAACGTGTATCAGTAGAATACCCGAACCACCTATACAAACTACGGGTCAAGGACATTATCTTTGAGCAATTTCCCAGTGTATTCCTCCAAGAAGATGTTTCCTTTGTTACACACTGAAAATTGAAGATCATTTCGTGATTATAGTGGTGATTGGGACTAAATACAAAACCTTCCATCCCGCACGCCAGCCACTGATACCGCCTGGGAAGATGTTCTAACATCATAGCCCAGCTCGAAGGACAGAAGCATCGGTATAGCTTCCATCGCAACCATACGCTCTGGGATGGAGGTGGTATCGTCTTTGAAGGACTCTGAGTCCGGATCAAATAGAGTCCAATTGAGGAGATTGGTAGGCCTTGACTTATACGGCAAGATTCGGCGTCGTCTATCACCCTGTTTGCGACGAAAAACGGTGGCATTTCGTTCTACTGCATGAAAATTCAGTCACACCTGAGCCCGGTGACCTAATTATTGTGTTTGCGGTGTCAACCATTCCTTTTCGTGCCAACGTACCTTGCATGACATCTGTCGCCTCAGGACTCTCCCTTAACATATCTTGCCTCCCCGACTATCCCACCTCTGTCCCACATGCACCGGGATAAATATGGGCTAGTTGAGTTGTGCTAAGCGAAATGTACCATGAGTCTTGATTTAGTCCGATGGGAGCATGCGTAGTGGGACTGATTGCGAACGAAATGGTGTTTTTTTATGTCTGAGGGACTAGAAATGATCCAAACGTTGGACTGATACGTTTACGTTCAGCGCAGTCACACCCGCATTTCTTCCCGAGATCATGCCAAAGCCAGCACCTTGGCTATTGTCTTCTTTCCAATCGGAGAGGACATGATCCGGAAACTTGCCGTGCTTGTGTCTTTGAATGCGCTTCCGCGGCGACACAACCTCGCCTCTATGAACAGCGGATGATGATATTATCCATGGTCGAGAAGCTATGATGTTGCTATTGAAAGGAATGTTGTTCCACGAAGCTGTCAAGAGCCGGGGGCATGGAACAAAACAAAATGTACGGGCCCGCGAGAGCCGTCCCGCACCTATGTAACATCGTGACATCGCGACGCAACAATATCATAGTTCTAGCGAGTATAGCGATCGAAAATCTTGGTAGCAGTGGTATGTATTATTCGACTATGTGAATAGGGATCCAAGTTATATATCCGGTTGTTCGTATCCCCTCTGTGAGTCAACATTCTGCGTTTACGCGTTTATTATTCCTATATCATGAGTATGGCACAGAAGGCTACCCCTGACACTGGGGCAGGCTTCGCAAGCTCCATAGACTCCGAGTCGTGTACAACAAATGCAGTCGAGGGAGGTGTTGAGGGCTGGCTGACAATCGTTGGGTCGGCTCTAGTCTATTACTCTTCTTTCGGCATCATCAACAGTTTCGGGTTCTTCCAGTCGTACTACAAGAATGAGTTCTTGAAGGGCACATCGCCGTTTACGATTGCCTTCATAGGCACGCTTCAAATAGCGTTGATGAACTTGCTCTCCCCAGTCTCTGGATCCTTGTGTGATTTGCATGGGATCAAAGTATTAGCATCCGCCTGCCCAAAAATCTGTCTTTACTAAATCGACCACAGTATCTCTACATTGGTTCTGGGCTTGGAACGTCTGGAACTCTCCTTGCACTCTCCTTCACAAGCCCTGGCGCCGTTTGGCAGACGTTTCTAAGCCAAGGCCTCCTTTTAGGATTCGTCATGTCGTTTGGCATCCAGTCCGCTCTCACGGTCGCCGGCCAGCACTTTAGACACAAGCGTGCATTTGCAATGGGCATCGTCTCCACCGGATCTAGCGCTGGAGGAATTTGTTACCCGATCATGTTCGATAAGCTGGTTGCATACATCGGATTTCCATGGGCTGTGCGTATCGCCGCAGTTAAGGTCGCGTAAGTCATGCCAGAGTCCGGTAGTGTTTGATTGCTGACGACAGAAAAGACTATGCTATGCAATAGCTCTTTGCATCTCAACAAGTAGGCCGTCGGGTAGGGTAACACGAATCAGTTTTAGTTCACTTCTGGATCTCAGGGGCTTCCTAGATGTGAGATACTCTGTCATTGCGCTTGGTGCATTCCTGTGTCATCTTGGAATTTGGGTGCCATTCTACTATATTCGTGAGTACACCGTCGCCCTATACGTAATCCTTTACTCACGAAGACGGCAGAGGAATACTGTGGGGTTATTTATCCATCCGCAAGCATCCAAGTCTATCTCTTGTCGCTGGCTAATGCCACTAGTTTGATTGGCATGATTGTGTAAGGAACCATAGTCTAAAAACTACTATCGCCCGCTAAAGAGTGGTAGCGGAGGCTTTTTAGGCGACACAATTGGCCGCCTCAATCTCCTCTATCCTATTATCATTCTTTCAGGGCTTCTTTCCCTCTTTATGTGGCTCCTCGCGGCCTCGCTGCCAGCTATCATCGCATTCTCATGTATCCATGGCTATTGTACGGGCCATTTCGTTGCGCTGCTTCCCGCAGTCGTCGGCCAGATCTCCCCAGACGAGAAGCTCGGCGCAAGGATGGGTGCATTCTACAGCCTGGTGGCAATTGCGAGCTTGGTTGGGACACCGGTTGGTGGGGCTCTAATCAAGGGCAAGTCCAGGGAAGGCTATCAAAATATAATCTTCTATACGGTAAATGGGCTTGTGTTAATTCCGATACGCCGTAACTAATCCTCAGTAGGGAGGTACGCTTCTTAGCGGAGGCTTAATACTCTGGATAGGGAGATTATTGCATGACCGCGACTTGCGAAAAAAGTGGTAAAGGAAATGGGCATGATCAGAGCGGCCTGAGGGAGAGATTTCCGCTAGTCGAAGAAGTTTTCTAGGATGGTGGTTGGGTGTGGTACCTTTCCATTTTAGAAATTCCCTTAGGACAGGGGAATGATAGGCGATTTTTAGTCACCAACGCCCATTACAGAATGAGAAGAAGGGGCACGTAGGCTCTCTAAGGATTTCATAGTAGTGACATGTACTGTTTTAATGTACTCTGTAAGCGCTTGTAGTTCACTAGGGACAACCTTATTACCCAGCCAGTTCTTCTAAAACCGTATAGCCTTAAATGTACGAGCAGAGTAGATTCCTCTTTATTGTAAGCATCTAATTACACAAGCAAGACTCCCTGGCGCCTTAGATGCTAACATATATGGTCGTGTGATATCCTAGCCTGTCTAAGTGCGATTTAACGCAGAATATATTAGCCCAATTAATCGTAGAGGCTATCCCTACGTTTAATAGGGCATCATTTATGTGCTCCTTAACCTAGGTATTGGGCAGAATGGGTTAGGGGGTTATCGCTTAAGCCTTCTAAAGACGTTTAGAAGAGTCAGCATGGTACACCTCAGCAAGGAGATAGCTAGAGGAGGCCGCATTCCTTTGCTGTGTGTAGCTGCATGATAGAATCCTCTGTGGCCATGTAGATGTTAGCTGGTGACAAGGAGGATGGTTTTATATACAAGAGGTATATGTAATTCTTTCTCTCAGCCTTAATATTGAAAGAGGCCAGTGAAGTATGGCAGTTAACTATAATAGCACCGTGAACCATCTTTGTTTCGGTCGGGATCTGTGGCAATTGATAAATCGCCATTCGTTTAATTGCTCTTTCCGCTGTATTCCTTAGCTCCTCTAGTGAGCACAATTCTGACACTCTGAATCCTGTTCGCCTTGTATAACATTAATCTAATCCCTTGGGTTCTCACAGAATCCGATCATGTGGGGTTTCAAACACTACGACTAACCTACGCTTTGCGGCGACAAAATGGAGAGAAAATATCTTCCAGTGGACTACAAAGGGCGCTTTCGACCTCCATCATCTATTCTTTAACAATTGAAAAGACCACCATCTTGACTTCTACCTTCACACCTTTACAAACATTCTTGACCTATTTCCCCAAACCTTCAAAATTCTTTTCTCCGACTCTGTCAAGAAGAAATTCTCTCCAGCGGCGAATGGAATATCGTACTTGGGAAATCCCGAAGCAAGAGTAGTAGCTTTAGCCATAAGACCTGGGTAACAGGGCGTGGGCTGCGACCAACTTCGGGCTGAACCTAAGCGACACCGACACCGCGAGCTCTGCACTCCGAAATACTTGCGGCAATGGCGGAATCCAGAGGACCACTTACTTCAAGCGTGGTGATGCTGTGGCTTTCTATTGCCAGCGCACCACGGAGTCGTCTCGAAACGCTAATGGGTTAATTTCCGACCAATGCGACAACTACCAGGCTGGGAGCTATTCCAATAGACCAGAGTCTACTAGGCCTTATAACTATGGATACGCTAATTGGAAGATTTATAAGTGGTGTGGTATCCCCGCTGGTGGTAACTAAGTTGCGAACACATTGGGAACCTGGGCTCAGACTGAGTGTGATGTGAACGAAGAAGAAGCTATCTCAAGTCGGATCTGTGGACGGAGGGCGAGAGAGGTCATTGGTGTGGGTTTCGTATTGTGGTCGAGATTTTCTTCTGTGTCTTATCCCAACCACATTCGTGTATGGATGTCTGGTATATAGGTAGCTATTTGTCAGCATTACTGGATTAAATTCTCTTCGCGGCATCTAAATCTGGTCTTCACCTGCAGTTCAAGAGACGTACTCAAACAATAGCTGTGTCCATGACCGCGGTGCTGAATAGTTCCAAGATGGTTTTATTTAAGCCTATGGCATGAGTAAGAACAAAGTTGGGGAAGAAATACTATTGGCTCCTACTGGGAGTGATTACCTCTTTCGTTGCAAATAATCTTAAGACGGGTAATGGCCGACATTTTGGTCGCCTCAAACATTTGAACCACAGACATCCTCGAGGCTAGCTAGGTCCCGGGCAGCGTGGCCAACAGTACGTAGTACGTTACGTTTGAGCTTTTTTCTGCCAGTAACTTCTCAATTTGGTAGTACTTTTGTACATAAGCAGTGAATTAATTAGCAAGTACGTAACATAACAGTAACTTCTTAAAATCCTTATACTTTTGTACTTTTCACAAGAAGTTTTGTTAGTCTAGGTTAAAATTGTTCTAGGAGAAGCTTTTTAGCCTAGATAAAGTCCCCTTCTCCTCCTTATCACCCTCTGTCTCTAGCTTGTTAGGACGACTCTAATAAGCAGGAGAATTAGGATGAGGCTGTACGCCTGCTGTAATAGAGGAATTAAGACATCTAGCTTATTGTAACAATTAATAAGATAAGCAATAGGTTAGCAAATAAGCAGGTATAAGATAAGGAGCTTTTCTAGGGCAAAAGTTAACTATTTTTATAATTGTTACTCTAAAACGCGACCTTAAACAAAGCTCCTAACGTGATAGCTAATAGGGTCTAAAAACAGGAGGGAAATCTCCTAAAATATGACTTCTCTGACCTGTACTACAGGACGTACTTGGCAATTCACTGTACAAAAGTTACGTCTCACATTTTAACTACTTTTGTACTCCTCACGTGATTACTACGTTCACGTAGTTACGTTACGTACTACGGACTGTTGGCCACGCTGGTCCCGGGGGGGTAGCCCAGTAAGGCTAAGCTGAGGAGAGAAGTGACGACCTTACTTCCGATAGAGTCTCTCCATTCCTTCTCAACTCATCTTCGTGATTTCACAACAACAACATCATCAACGCCTGATATACAAATTGCATATGGATGCAAACAATGCAGAGCTGCAAAATGGGAAGGCAGTCCCTCCGAGAGCGGCCTCTCCTATCGACAATGTGGCTAGAGGAATATCCAGTACTCTCAATCAAGCGGAAATCGGCTTGCCCCAGCCCTTATTCAAGAATATCTCACCACTGGAAGGTGATGAAACGCTCTCTTCCAATGAGAGACTCGAATTGATTGTCCTCTATTTCGATTTTCTTCACGATAAGCCTCATATGCTCTTCCACTCTGGAATATTACGAGGAGCCGTTCAACAAGGAGAGTTATTGGATCAGATATTTTTTGTGATAGCAGAAATCGCCTGCCGATTTTATTTGTCCCAAAATTTTCAGTCGTGAGAATTTCACTTTATGGAAAGGCTAAAAGGGGTCTCCAGGTCACGCACTGATGACTTTCTTTGGATACAACCCGACCTTGTAAGTTCATGGGAAGTTTGTATGGCACTGAAGGTGATTTGTTTTCAATTACGGAGCTCTCAAAGCTCTTGTCACCTGACACTACTTTCACCTGCTGCTGCCTAAGCTAGTGGTAGCCTTAGGTCACATGACAGGTTCATCTAGTACTATATAAACCCGGAGTTACCCTCCTTTGGCAATCAATCTAGTTCCTCATCCCTCTGGTGCTCTTCCTAGCTTCACATGATTCCTATGTGACATCTCCAATCTTCACTCTTCCCTTTCAAATTGCACACATCATCAGACCGCCAGAACTAAGCCCAGATAATAATGTAATTACCCGCAGAGAGAAAGTCCGAACCTGGTGGATTCTGTGCATGATCGACCTATGTACCCGTGTGGGTGAAGATAGACCTAAAACACTTCCCGCGCGCCGAATTGCAGAAGGTTGGAGGTATCATGCAAACCGCAGATTCCCTATCTCTATTCAATAAGAAATGCTGAGGCAGATATCAAAGCCTTCCGTACACTTCTTATTCATTTGAAATACATTGACGACACCCACCATACGGTCTTTATAGTGCAGCTAAGAATGAGGTTGACCTGTTGTTCAACAGTCGAGATGGCGGCGGCCTGGTAAATGAACAATATGCAAAACCGGTCCCAGATAAGCTGCTTGATTTCTTGCACAAAGAGTGTGATCAGGTTTACCTCGAACTTCAATATAATCTTGGTACATTCGTCTCATAGTCTCAGTCTTGTTCATGGGAGGAAACATTCGGTAAATCTTCAAAGATGGAAGAAATATTCATGGAATACCACCACGCACACTATGTGAACTGTGTAGCAGCCGGTGAAAAGAAGCCTATCCACTTCCACTGTACACTAGTGGCACGCGGGCGACAACAACGACAACGCATTCCCGCATAAAAGCTGACGGTGGCATGGAACTAGGCAGTGATGCCGAATAATAATCAAGATTATGGTAGGTCTCCGATCGCGGTAATGATTCCAATAATTGCGGGGATTGCGAATTTTTATTGTTTCGTGAGGTGGAAGAATGGTGGATTTCTCCCCGTCTCAGCCACATGTGCCACAATATGGTATGGCGCAAAGGAGCGGGGAAGCTACCCAGGGTGAGTGCGTCGATCAACCCTCGCTTCCATGCCACGTAATAAAATCTCCGCGAACAGGGTTTGTTCTCCTTCATCTGGTCTTTCACTCTAAAACTTGGACAGTCACTGCAACCATGAACGCTGATGTGCCGGCTATTTAGCAGTGGCTCTCTCGATTCGCTGGCAACGGACCATCTTGACTGCTTTCGCTGTGATCACAAGAACACAAGTCTCGCATCATTAGTCGGCCAAACCGTTTGGCCTGTCCTATTCCTTGACCTCTCACGATGCTGCTGGACGCATGGTTTCACGAAGTCGCATTATTGGTCACGCCTTTAACTGGTCGTTGAGGGAGTGACTGCTTGCTGGCTGCACAACCTCTTCATCACCCAGGGTCTCCAGAAAATGTGACCTCATCGACCAAGGGAGGAGACGGAATCATCGAATCATTCGCGCTGCGCTGTACTACCGAAAAGCTTCAGCCCTAGTCACGTCAAGGGTGGAAAATTGCTGACTGATGATGGGACCTATGGCTACGTGGCTCGCATCAGGTTGACGTCGTTTCCAAGGTTCGCTGTGGTCAATAAGAGTTAGATAAAGTCGACATTCCCGTCTGCTTTTCTTCTTTACCTCAAATGTTCCACAACAGGCTGGCCTTCCGCTTGTAGCGCTGACAGCATTGTTCGACCAACACTCTTTACCTCACACATTTCTATTCCCCCCCACACCACCACCTTCTCTCTGCATCCAATAACAAAATGATTGTCTCACGCATGGTATCCATGTTCCTTCGCTTTGGCGAGCTGGTTTGCGCCGCCGTCGTCCTCGGCATCGTTTCCCATTTCCTCCATCAATATGACCATTTCGGAGTCGGCCCGTTGGGTCGCGAGATCTACACCTGCGTCATTTCTTCACTCTCAGTCCTATTCTCGTTCCTATGGTTGATCCCTTCGACCAGCAGCTTCCTTCACTATCCATTTGATCTGTTATTATCGGCGGCTTGGTTCGCTGCTTTTGGTGCCTTGGTCAACTGGATTGATAGGGTTAACTGCGGTGGCATTTGGAACTGGGGTGGTATTACTGCTCGTGGATCTTACTGCGGTCAATGGAAAGCTGCCGAGGCCTTCAGTTTTATCGCAGCTTGCTTCTGGTTTTCCTCGTTCCTCTTGGTATGGCTCCGCCTCCGGTGTTTACAGCGCGTCAGACTAAATCTTTCCAGGGCGTCTATGTGTACCATAAGCTTTCACGCGATCCTGTTGCTACTGATGGAACTCGGTAAGTTTGCTCTACATTTCTCACCTTAATAATGCTAACGAGTGTAGCAGCCGCCGCCGCTGGCACCGTTCCCGTGTCTAGGTAACATAAAAGGGCCAAAGCTGGACGGCTCTCTCTTGCACGAAGGGGCGACCACATGCGACAAAGTCTTGGACTGGAATCGGCGCTGTGGGAGCATTTATTCAAATTGATATCTTTTCGCGATCATCTGGCGTACGGAATTTGGAATTGGAGTGCGATACTCTTCAGAAACTTTGTGACACGTTATACCATTGATGTTTCATATCTAATGTAGTGAACCGAGTTTGACCAAGCCGATTGGTTCATATTTCTTTTATGGGTTATGCATATCCATCCAGCTTGACTTTAGACTCCCGCGCCATCTATCTATGTAAGGTACGATGACTTGCTGCTATACAGCTGGGTAATCAAGTGCACGCTAGCTTTGAATAGTCCCTACCCCATTCCTGTCTTGTTTGAAAGTTAAGAAAGATGGGTTATCTATCGTTCCATCCGGAAGCCCATTCCTTCGTATCTTAAGTGGAGTAGAGGGATTTGTGTGCCAGACTAAGCCGCTCTTAGTCCTGGTTATATACGCCTTATAAGCCCTTTAAAAAAATGTGGCAATTGGAACGACGTAGTTATACATATATATCGCTAGTAATCTAGAATCTATAGTAACTATCATACAATCATTTGTGCACCCACCCACTCATATTCTCTAATACCATGCCATCCTACAATCCCTCTTCCTTAACTACACTTTCGCACCTCCCACACAACCCATCTTTATGCATCGCCAAAAACCGCCAACACCTCGGACACTTGAACTTCCTCGGTTTCGCCACCACCACCAAAATCTCCTCCTCTGTCTGCCTACCCTCACTAATCTTCCACTTAACCTTCTCCTCCTCCCACCATACCTCACCAACCCCCTTTTCATTTCTCTCCCGCCACATCTTAATCAAACTCTCCGTCTCATCCCTGCTCATAGCCTCCATCTCACTCACCACGAACAAATTCGCCAGATCCCTTCCCTGGTCGTTCCAAGTATTTCCCGTATTACCCAGCAGAAGATTCTTAAGCCAATGGTCAGAAATGGATTCCGGCAATCCAACTACAACCGAGCATTCTAGCGACGACCCCATTTTCTTCTTCGCACGGAGCCGTTCTTGAGCGGCTTTGAGAGCCGTAGATAGCATGTTCCAGCGATCATAGTAGCTCTCCTCAACGGGGATTCCTGGGTGCGAAGGCTGTAATTTAAGCAGTGTCCAGGGCTCTCGAGCGGGATGAACAGATCCTAGTTTCAAAGGCCCTGGGACGTGGTCCCAGACTTCTTCAACAAGGAGCGGACAAATCGGCGCGAGGGCTTGCATGAGTTCGTAGAAGACGAGTGCGAGGATAGATTGGATGTGTTGGCAATCTTGCTTCGTGCCTGCGTAGACGCGATCTTTGAGCGTTTCGAAGTAGAAGGCTGAGAGGTCGTTTGTGATGAATTTGTTGATGGCGTTGACGCCTTTAAAGAATTCATAATTGGTGTAGTGGGTATGCACTTCTTGGCTGAGCTTTTGGAGACGGTGGAGGGAGAGCTGGTCGGCTAACGGGAAGGTTTTGGTGTCGTGTGTGGCGATGACTGTGCGAATGGCATTGAAGGAAATGAATATTGGAGGACATGTTGGAAGAGAAAAGATACCAAGCAGCCATTTGAAGGTGACACGATATTTATGCAACGTCTGATTGACAGATTGCAGGACTGGTTGTCCAATAGTCACATCCGTGGTATAATCGCTACCTGCAACCCACAGTCTCAATGCGTCAGGCCCCATGAAATCGTAAGTTGGTGCTCCATCCTTTACTTGGTCTTGTTTGGCCCCCTTTTGCTTCTTGCGCTTCAGTGGGGGTAGCAATTCACCCGAAGTGATTTGAGACGGGGAAATCACATTCCCAAGACTCTTGCTCATTTTGCGACCGTCAGAGTCCAAAGTAAAGCCATGCGTGATAAGGGTCTTGAATGGTGGCTTGACAGCCTCGGAGTCGGCGCCGTGAGTGGCGACATAAGTTAGGAGTGAAGATTGAAACCATCCACGGTGTTGATCAGTACCTTCTAGATAGATGTCGGCAACCGGCTGATCGTCCCTCGGCGGGAGTAATGTCCAGCTGGTTCCGCTATCGAACCAAACATCCATAGTGTCTCGGCCTCGGACGTAGGTCCCGGGAAGGTGTTTGGGCGTCCAGGCCGGATCATTGTCGGGATCGGTCCACCATGCATCAATGCCCCTTTCCCTGACAACCTCGAGGATATGTCGGATAATTTCTGAGTCCATAGTTGCTTCATGCTTGCCTTCATCAACCCTGTATAGAGCGGGAATCGGAACACCCCACGCGCGCTGCCGCGAGATGCACCATTGACTGCGGCTCTGAACGAAGCTCTCCAGTCTAGACCGGCCACTATGTGGGATGAACTCGACTTGATCAATGGCTCTCATAGCCCTTTCCTTAATCCCATCTACGTTGGCAAACCACTGCTCAGTCGCTCTCACAATCACAGGCTGCTTGGTCCTCCAGTCAATGGGGTACTTGTGCTGGAGGTCTTGCAAAGCGCGGAGGAGATTGTGCTCTGTCAAATACTCTACAATCGCCATAGTAGCCGAATCCTCGAAGCCCGGTTGGCCCTTGAGAGTCGGAGCCTGCACAAGCTTACCCTCGAGGACTTCGGGGTGGCTGGGGAAGGCCTCCTTGGTAAATGCTCCAGTGTCGTCTACAGGAGCAAAGGCGGGAATACCGAGTGCGCTGCAAGCATGGTAGTCGTCCATACCATGGCCAGGTGCAATATGAACAAGCCCCGTCCCTGACAAGTCTGTGACGAAGTCGGCATGGATGACTGGCTGCAGTCCGTTTGCCTTCTGGAAAGGATTCTCGTATTGCAAGTTCCCGGCCAAGACTGATCCAGACAGCCCAGTTTGCACGACGATAAGCTCCCGCTTGAGTATATCTTGGTAAGACGCTAGTCGAGAAGCAGCGACGATAGTCAATTCACCGTCGTTCTCCGAATCTTGGACTACACTATACACTATATCTTTGTGGACAGCAATGGCTTTGTTCGCAGGGAGAGTCCAGGGAGTGGTGGTCCAGATGACAATATTCAGCGGCTCATTTACTCCAGAGAGAACGCCTTTCCTGAGCACATCTGATACCGTGACAGGGAATCGCACGAAAGCTGCTAGCGACTTGTGGTTTTCATCATACTCGAGTTCAGCTTCGGCAAGGGCAGTACGGGAGGAAGGCGACCAGTATACGGGTTTGAATTGTCTGTAGATCAACCCTAATACAGGAGTCAGCTTGAATCCGTCATCTCAACCGCACAGGGACAGACCTCACCCTTCTCAAACATGCGTCGAAACACCTCCAACTGCCTAATTTCAAAACCCCTCTCCATCGTCCGATATGCATTATTCCAATCGCCCATAACGGCCCACTCCCTAAAACCCCTCATCTGCTCTTCTACCGTCCTAGTTGCCAGCTCTCCCGCAGCTTTCCGCACGCTCACGGCATCCATGTTCGCATCCTTATTCTGCGCCTGCAGGGCCTTGATTTCAATTGGCAGGCCGTGGCAATCCCAACCAGGGATATAGCTCACTTTCTTGCCCTGACCAACCTGGAATCTGCAGATGATATCCTTTGTAATTTTGTTTAGAGCGTGGCCAATGTGCAGCGGACCATTGGCATATGGGGGTCCATCGTGCAGGGTAAACGTCTCTGGGACACATCCATTAACATCGGGGCTCGAGCGAGAGGATTGCTGCCATGCGTAAAGCTCATCGGAACATCGACGGAGGTATTCTGCGCTCACCGAAGGGAGGGGGCGGGCTGGGAAGCTTGATTTTGGGAGATGGAGAGTGGAAGTCCATGATGCGCGTAGGAGACGGGTCGGGGTTAGCATGGTAGCATCGTGGGCGGGTTGAGGGTCGATAGTAGGGGACGGAGATATTTTCGTTTCGGCTGCGAGTTGTTCGGAGTTTCTTCGGGAGAGTCATCACCCATGCCAAGCGTCAGACCCCTGAGGAAGGGTGGAATGCTTTGTCTTGGAAGGTCTGGTATGGCAAGAGTAAGTTGGCGGATTTCTATATAAGACTTAGACTCCAGTGAGCCAAGTAGAGAGCAGGTACGACCCATTAAGCGTCAAGCTCGTACAACCAGTGCCAAGAAATTCGAACTCCGGCCATGCAATGCAACCAAGAACCAGGATGCTCAATATACTGTCAATGCACTGACAGCACCATTCTTCAGCACCTCAAATATCATCCCAGGAAAACCAAACAGCTCTACATTTCCCACATTGCCATCGCCTTCCACTGTCCCTGACCCGGCATTGGCAAATCTGCTCTTCTTCCCTGAGCCATCTTCCCATCCGCCGAGAAGTTCGCAGCTGCTACCCGGACTGTCACCCCAGCCTCTATTTAAAGCCATGCCTCGTTGCTGTAGCCGCTCCTCCTCTTCGCTCTCGTAGTACGACTTGAAGACTTCCTTGAGCCGGCCAGAGATGTCCACGAACCGCATCTCTGAATTGAGAGGATCCTTGTAGAGATCGGATGGAACATGTTCCAGCGTCCACCTGCTTCGTCGGTGTCTGTTGAATTGGTATGATCCGGGCAAGTTGCCGTGAAATATCATCTTAGTGGCAGTCAAGTGGTTCAATGGCTGAGAGCTCAGCTCGCCATCTTCATGGGAATCCGATTCCCGTCTCTCGGACGTAGGCGAAGCTGGGGATATCTGTGTTGGCTGTGATATGAGAATGTCGAATCCGTGGTGGTAGTAGTTATAGAAGTGCTCTGCTGCTGCAACCTCGCGTTCTTGGGCCTCGGTTGCCGCCTCGTCATCATCCTCCCAGTCATCTTCATCATCTGTGCCAATAACAGAGTCGTGGTCCGAGTCAAGGCGGTCGTCAGGTATTATACCGATGGCGAAATTATCAGATGCGTCACTTGCTCTCCGATCCTTGTGAATGGACAGGCGGTGGTCGTTCTTCCTGTATATTGAATCTGGTGCTCCAAGCTCCATGATGAGATCTTGGGGCGTGGTTTCGCTGAGCGTTATCCAGAACGGAGGGCTTGAGCGCCTAACCAGCTCTATCCTACCCTCACCATGTACCCTTACAAGCTCGATCTCGTCTGGGCCACCTTCTTTACCCTTTCCCGCTAGAGTTAGCGAACGAGGATTCGGGGGTGTTGCTGCGAATAACGTCGCCCGCGCTTTCTGCCACGATTCTCCGCTAAACACTGCCATGGATGTTGCTGGGCCTGTAGCGGATGAGGAAAGTAGCGAGATGAAGTCCTTCTTGGGCGAATACGCGGAATGCTGTACCGGAAAGTTGAAAGCAATTCCGGGGTACGAGAGATTGTATGTTCCTTTTGCGCTAGGGTCGTCCGAGTTTGGTGGTATGTACTCTCCTCCATATGTCGGCCCCAGCAGTTTATCGTAGATGTGCCTAAACTTGGGTCCGGTGGGCACTCCATGCATGTCTGTATAGCCATCCGTCGCCTTGTACACTTCGACCTCTTTATACACGAGTTTCGCTTTAGAAAAGTCTAGGACTTCTATTAATCGTAAACGCTGGTCAGGGCCATCGAACTGTAAGCGGAGGCCGTTATCGGGAAGGACGAGGTGGATGGGAGTAAGTATGGGGTGCAGATCATCGTGGTAGAGTTGGAATCGAGGGAAGGCTTTTACTTCAGCCTTGATCGTGGTCAGGACTTCATGCAGTGAGCTGCCCAGCGCTATGGAAGTCAGCGTGGTCTTGGGCCGGAAGGAGCCAGCGAACTGGAATCCCCACATACTCAGGAAACTGAGCCCGCGGCCCGGAACGAGCTGCATCGTGCCATCGTCCATGTTGTCTAAACGTAAAGTGGGGGATTTGAGGTTCTCCAGGGCAGGGCGACCTCGAGAGGGGTGGATATAGGTGGGGGGGATGGTTCTGCGCTCGTGCCTTGTTCACGAGGCCTAGAGTGAGACACTCTCAAGGCAACAGGCTCTATCCTCAACACCATCTACTCTCACTCGTATCTAGAAGTGTGCATCGAGTTGCCGAACGACCCCAAGGTGTTGTTGAGGGGGTGGGTAAGCTCTCAGAATAACCAGCTCGGTTCAGGTCACGGGGTGACTCGCCTCTACGGAACTAAACGGGTTAGCGGCTTGGCATGTTTACGTCCCGTGTTGTGGTCAACAGTGCGGGTGAAAGAAGCTCAACACCAAAGCGCATTGCTAACAACAGCTTCTTTCCCACAAAACACCTTGGCCTTTCTGTTATGTCCGGTCTCCCTCGGCCTGGCCCGCCTCCCGGTAAGAAAGTCCCAACAATGCGCCCTTCATCCATGCGTCCGCCTCTCAATACGGCGCGCGGCCGTTCTGCTACACCTGCACACAATGGCCGAACCTCCCCGGCAGAGTCAGTGGCTTCTTCACGAGTGCGATCATCGCCAGCGCCAGGTACAAAACGTAAACAGCGAGACTTCGACCAGGATCACGGCGAGGAAACCAACATCAATGTTGTCGTCCGGTGTCGCGGTCGCAATGATCGCGAAGTCCGAGAAAACAGTGGCGTCGTTGTCTCTACCGACGGAATCAAGGGAAGAATCGTTGATTTATCCATGGGACCCAATGCTCTTAGCAACAAGACGTACCAATTCGACAAGGTCTTCTCCCCGGCGGCTGATCAAAACATCATCTTTGACGAAGTCGTTGCTCCGATCTTGGATGAGGTATGCTCTAGTGGAATTGATAATCGTGTTTCATTCCCTGCTGACCATCCGAAAAGGTCCTTGGTGGCTTCAATTGCACAATCTTCGCCTATGGCCAAACTGGCACTGGCAAGACGTACACCATGTCCGGCGACATTTCCGACATCCTTCCTCTACCAGATGCGGCTGGTATCATCCCACGTGTATTGTTTTCCCTTTTTAACAAGCTCGAAAGCACCGAATCCGAAAACTCTGTCAAGTGCTCCTTCATCGAGTTATACAACGAAGAATTGAGGGACTTGTTATCCGCGGATGACCATGTCAAATTGAAGCTCTTCGAGGACAATAACAAGAAGGGTCACAGTTCAACTCTTGTTCAGGGTATGGAGGAGTGCCACATCAAGACCGCTTCCAGAGGTATTCAGCTACTCCGCGAAGGAAGTCACAAGCGCCAAGTTGCCGCAACGAAATGTAACGACCTTAGTTCTAGAAGCCATACTGTTTTCACCATTACCGTCTTACTGAAACGAACTACCGATGATGGACAGGAGTACATGAGCTCCGGGAAGCTAAACCTTGTCGATCTTGCTGGAAGCGAAAATATTCAGCGAAGTGGAGCAGAAAACAAGCGCGCTACTGAGGCCGGATTGATCAACAAGAGCTTGCTGACGCTTGGTCGAGTTATCAATGCCCTCGTGGATCGAGGTTTGCATATTCCGTACCGCGAATCGAAATTGACGCGTCTTTTGCAGGATTCTTTGGGAGGACAGACGAAGACGTGCATTATCGCAACCGTGTCACCAGCCAAGAGCAACCTCGAGGAGACTATTTCCACCCTAGACTACGCTTTCCGTGCCAAGAACATCCGTAATAAGCCACAGGTCAACCAACTCATGTCAAAGAAGACTCTACTGAAGGAGTTTACGACTGAAATTGAGAAACTCAAGAGTGAACTCATCGCGACTCGGCAACGGAATGGCGTGTATCTCACCCAAGAAAACTTTGAGGAGATTACCACCGAGAGCGAGTCAAGACGAATCCTTAGCGAAGAGCAGCGAGACAAGATTGAAACAATGGAAATCCATCTACGCAACAAGGGGCAAGAGCTGTTCTCTCTTATGACTAACTTCCAGAATCTTAAGAAGGACAATGAGCAGGCCAAGATTACGTTGGAGGGCACAAAGAGCATTCTTGAGAAGACGGAGATTGTGTTGGAGCATACTCGACAGAATCTTGCGGAAGAATCGATGCTCCGGAAGGCGCACCAGAAGACAGAGGGCGATCTAGCAGATATCGGGTATGACATGATTTCTACCCTCAGAAAGACAACTTCAGATATCAATGGCCTACGCTCAAAAATCCGTCGCAAGTCCGACCTACAGTCCCAAAATCGACAGAACTGGGCCTCGTCACAATCACAAGTTTACGATACCACAAGTCTGGTTGAGAACCGGATAGAACAATTCCAGGCCCAACAAGAGCTGATGATGAATAGTCTCTCTACAAGGATGCAGACGTTTGTCAAAGACGAGCTGAATAAGCTCGGGGCTTCTCAAACCTTCTTGCAGGAGAAGATGAAGGCATACAATATTTCGGAGCAAGAGGTGAATGAGCAGACTACCAAAGCTTGTGATGATGTGAACGAGGTTTTGGGAGAGATTAAGACACTACGAGAAGAAGTGAAGGAGAGGTTAGGCGCTGGACTCAATGAGCTGTCTGTTGCTGCGGAAAAGATTTCGGAGAACATTATCATAGAGCTAGAGGCTTTTCATACTGAGGTGAGACTGGTGCTGTGCTCTGCGAGATTTACCGTTGATCACTAATTCCTTCCCAGCTTCACTCATCTTACTCGTCACTCGGCAGAGAATTCAAGAACACGTTTGACGACCTCACCAGGTGCTTGAACGAGCAACAGGACGAAAACAGCCAGCTTCATCTGCAGATCCTGAATGCCAACACCGCCCTTGTGGAAGCTAACAAAGCAGCGCAGGGGCGACTCATGCAGTTGGCTGACGAAGAAAAACAAAAGTCCGTGGAAGAGCGCCAACAGCTGTTAGCTCAGATTACTTCCCTCATCAATTCTAGCGCCGAAGTACAGGTGGAGAGGATGAATGAGCGGATTTCGAGTGTTAGTGAGGAGATTAGTGGTGCAAATGCGGCGTTCAACACAAAGCAGACTGCGTACAGCCAGGGCATGAGCGCTTGGTCAGATCGGTCAAAGGAAATCGTCTTTGGTGTATCGAAAGCACGAGACAATGTGAAGGCGAAGATCAAGACCGACTTTGCGGTAGGCTCGCCTCTCCTCCTCCCCAGTTAATATGCTAAGCTCGACCTAGGTCGCAACACAACACTCCGCTTCGATCAAAGACACCACAACATCTGTGCACGCTAGCACCGTCAAGACTGTCGAAGCCCAGATGGTGCATTTGAACGCGCAGCTGCACTCTCTCGACGATATTGTCTCGCGAATCCGCGCGCAGAATAATGCTCACCATACTACTCACACAGTATCTCTCAATGCTCTTTCATCGACAGTTCAGTCGTCATACTCGAGTATTGGGGACCATCTTTCGACTTCGTTTGCACGTGTGCAGTCTCTTGAATCAGACGTGGCTGCTCAAACAACAGCTCTCAAGGATACTCTTCTTACTCTCTCTGAGGATTCTAGTATCCGCACTCCCCTCCACGAGCTTCGAGATAGCATTAGCAACCAGAGCCTCATGGAGTACAGCTCGACTGGGGAGACTCCGCAAAAGACGTCTTACACCGTTCCATCCACTCTTCCCCGTACCGATTCCCAAGAAACCATTCTCTCCCACCTCCGCGACAGACCTGCTTCTACAGATACAGTGCGCAGTCCGACAAAAGGCCATGTCTTCAACGATGCGACCAACACCACCTTATCCGACGATAATTTCTTCTCCTCAACAATGGCCAAACCCAACTTCTCCCATTCTATCATCACAAACACTCACTCAGTCCCAGGCATGGCGGGTCACTCTCTACGCGAGTTAGATGTTAACATCGTCTCGCAGGACTCGCTCAAATCTCCCCCTCTCGTCTCCCCATCCGAAGTCGTCACCGGCAACGGTGGCGGGCCTCCGCCTCTCAAAAAGCAGAACCGGGGTGAGGATGGCGGGTCGAGTAAGTTGCCAATGAAGAAGATGGGACGCAAGACGGTTGGGGGACTGGGTGCGAGTCAGGGTCCTGGAGATCGGGAGAATTTGACGATTACAAATTTTTCAGCGAGTGTGGGGCCGGGGGTTGTTGGGGGGCGGAGACTAAGGAGCCATGGGAGTAGTTAGACTTGCGTGGATGAGGTGAAGGTTCATCTGAAATGAGAAGGCGGCTTAATGATCTGGACGTGGATCTGTGGATCTGTGGATCTGTGCTTGGCATTACCACCTTCCTAGGCTACTTAATCAGCGGTTTTTAGGATGATTAGGATTTCATGAGGCGTTTTTTTGCAATGAATAGGCCGGTTTGCAGAGGTCATGTTCTCTGCTGAGTTTCCACGGCGTTGCCTTGATTTCATGGATTGCTTTTCACTTTCCATGAACACCCCATAATCAGAACTTGTATGACATAGACATTCAAGCTATATGCTACTGCCAAGCTGACTGTACAAAATTATCGAACGATCTCTGTATGCATCCAGTCTAGTGGCGCGGCAAAAACCATCCTGTATCAGCCCATGACCATGACTACGCCACGATACCCTTAGTCAGAGTTGCCATAATCATGAGGCCCGCCAACCTTCCCAAAACAGCAAGATGTCTGCAAAAGACGTTAGATGCAGCGAACGACAGCTCGACGAGCAACCACCTGTTCGCCAGCGGCTGTCGGGCACAACCGGTTGATAACAGCGGGGAAGGGGAGGACGGTTGAGGAATTACACTGAGTTTGACAGGGCTGGGGTGCCGTGCTACGAGGTGTTAGAAATCAATGGCAGCAGAGTGGTGGAAGGGATTTGAGGATTTGAGGATGTGAGGTGGGGTTACAGACAGTAAAAGTCGCTGTGTTCGACGGTTTTTGGGCGATAATATTGCCGGAAAGGGCAGGTTACCATGTTGGGCGTAAATTGTTTGAAGAAACAGCTGCGATACATCCTTTTCCTTATCGGCTACCTAGTTAGGCAGGTTTGGCATAATTTACCAAGGCCTAGATTACCTAACCCCTCCCCTATAGTTAAGTTATGCGTATTGCTCTATTCCTGAGGCATTGTATCACCATACATCTATCGGTGTAAAACAAGTGTTTATCTGTATGCACAGCATAGTTCTCACAATCCCTATCCCAGGACAGCCAGCAAACCTTGTCGCCGCTGCCGTCACCTTCCCGATTTGAAACGTCAAGCTAGCTGGAACCGAAACTCTATCTGTCCCTCAGGATCCACGACGCGCAATGCATGCGATGATCGTGTGTCGTGCATTGCATGCAGTCAACCATGGAAGAGATGTGTCGTTTGCGTCAGGGGCTTGGGCTGTGGGTATGGTAATGCGGAGGTGAGGGGAATACCCAGTGGGAGGACAGGATGCGACTGAGCATTGTATATGAAACCTACAGGTTTATACACACCTATGTAGCCGTAGTTACGCAGATATTGCTACACTAATCGTTGAGACCGCGACGCTTTCTTCCACAGTGAAAAGCTATCTCAGGTTTGTCATCCAGTCCAACCACACTTGTCCTCCCGCCTCATTTGCTCTCCAAAAAAAAGAAGCGCGTTGTTGTCCACTTTCGTCAAAGCCCCTCCAGATAGTTAAGTATATACTTTATTGCTCCTCATGTCACTACCTCAACTCGCTACGACTGAGTAAAGTACAAACGTTAAAAGAACGGACAAGATCAACAAACCACAGTAGTGGTAGCGACGTTCCCCGCCCCATCCTATTCCAGAGCTCTGAATCGGACGCCCGATGGGAAAGCGCAACTTGGCTACCTGCACGGACGAAGTTGTTGCAGGAAAGGGAGGCACGTTGTATGCACGAGACAACCACATTCACCACCTGCACGTTTGGCGGAGGAAACTCCATAGATTGTTTCATGTGATGTGATGTGATGGGAGAGGAGACAAAGGAAGAAGAAAAAAACCCCGCCATTGCAGATCTACGCAGTAATGCGCTGCTAAACTTCAGGATATAGAAAGGAGGACCTGTGACAGGCTCCGATGACCAGCTTCTGAGGAAATACAGATACGTGACAGACGAAAAAAGAAGAGTGCGTAACTAAATAGTGTTGAAAGATGTGTGCACCCCGTGTTCCTACGGGCGTGCCTAGACAGTGTCCATGCCCACGTCGCTCGCCGCCAAACCTCGCATTGACGGTCGCAGAGGCTGTGAAGAGGGCATAACAACATGGTGGATGCGGGACCCAGGAACAATTCAGATAGATGCGCGTGATCAGTCATTGCCTCATATGTGCCCGTCAACAAAGGATATCTTGCGTGCTTGCTGAAGAACCAGTACTGCAGCTGCCGCTGCCAAAACTTGAGGATGAATCGAAAGATGTAGATAGAAGCATGATCATTCGTTTATGCCTGGACCTTCTTCTCGTTTATGACACATTTCGGTCTGAAGACGGCATCTTGCCCCGTCATGCGCCTCCCTAGGGCTCGGTCTAGTTTCGCACCGAGGGCCAGCTTGCTCATGTCGTCGTTCTTCTCGCTGCTCATCTGATATCGTTGCTGTGCTAGCCGCTTATCCTCAAGTCGCTCAAAGCCTGCATTCCAGCTCTTGATCTCCTGGGCTTTGGGGTCGCCGGCGGTTGAGCTTGCTCCGGAGAGGTGCGAAGGTGCAATTGATGGCGTCAGCGTGGGAGTGGCGCTGTAAGTGGACAGGCGGGTTGAGGCGCGGTTGCCGGCGGACTGTGAAGACTTCATGTTAGGGCTCTGAGGTGCAAGGAGTGCGAGGTGTGGATGAAGGGGGGCGGGAAAGGCAGAGGTATTCGCAGATAGTGTGCCCCGAGCGAGCATCAACCTAGCGGAATACACTAGCCTTGAAACAGCAATGGATAATCAGGAGAGAGCCGGAACGTACACTGGCGAGGATGGGCCGCGAGGACTCAAGAGAGTTCGTCATGGTGCTTCAGAATGCGCGCCTTTATTCCTTTGGCAGGAGGGAGACAGCGGAGATAGTTTGGGAAGTCTTCAGACAGCCACAATGTTCCAGTTGATTGGACACGAGGGCGCTGGTGTCGGTGGAGGGGCGGGCGTGGAGAGGGATTTAGGGGAAGGAAGCGTCGAGGGAGAAACAGCGTCGTCAGAGAAGTGCTTGCGCTGGGGCTTTCGCGCGTTTCACGGCGAGCCAAGGCCCTGGATCGGCAAGGGGTATGCGTTGACTAATCGGTGAGGACGAGCAAGGGGGATCTGGTACCGCAAGTCCAAGCAGAAGTGAATGTTCGCGCTGATATCGCCGCCCTGCAAGTTGGAGGTGAGGTGTGCAGTGGAGGAGGAGGGCTGGTGTTGATAGGTGCTGAAGGCTGGGAAGGATGCAGGTGGCTCTGCGTCAGTCAAATGACAAGTGAACCTCTCCGGCGGGAAGCGACCCTTTTTACTTTTGTCTGAGCGGGGCGCTACAGTCACTCTGAAACCGCGCACACGAGTAGAGAACGGAAGGTGGTCACGGCAAGGCACTGGAGCGCAGCCAGCCCTCGCCGTGGCCTCCAGGGACTTTGTCAAAGAAGCGCGCATCTCAATGCCTGGAAAATGAAGCCACACGGCCCCATCCATTGTCGACAACGGCTCTCATTCGATACATGCAAGCCCCACGCTCTTGCCACGTTTTTCGAACGTGGTTCCCGCAGCCGCTGAACTTGGTCTGATCCTTTGCTCCGCAACCGTCCGACGCTCTCTCATCAAGACTGCCACTTCCACCACTGACCTCGCATCTCTCACCGCACAACAAAGAACACCGACTGCAAGTCTTGCTTCCTAGGCAACCCGCCGTGCCTGCCCCTGCCTCTGCACACGACTCCAGATTGCGCTGCACTCGCTCGGAGTGGTAAGCCGGAGTTGATCCATGCCCATGATCTCTCAGAGGCATGCAGCTAATCATGCGCCATCCTCGGCTGGCGATGGCATTTTCTATCAGCCCAGAAGCCCGTCTGCGCCAGAGACAAGCCAAAAGCAAAGCGAATGGCTAAGCCAATGCTGGTTGCCGTTCCGCAAGTAAGAAGCCCTCCACATCACCCGCTAGGACATTATTGTATCTGGACCCGCATTTCTGAGTGAGAAAGTAGATGATGGTTATCCGACTGATCTCTTAATCAGAGCCATGAGGTAGTGTCTTCCAGCCTGCCCTAAAGCAATGCAGCGTAAAAACTTAAGACTATGTTCCACCTTTTCCACTTTCTCCATCTTTTAGACCATTTTCTAAGGCAGGTCCTTGATTCGAGCAGCGATACAAATACAATCTGCAAACCTCCTCCCTGAGGCATGGATATATATGTTATGTGCGCAATACTGCAGTTAGATTGTGTGTGGACCGTGCTGGCCACGTTATGAGCCACGTGGGTGTGAAAGGGCCACCCTGCATATTCCGGACGCTCGGGTGTAAGCGCTATCCGGTGAGTGGTAGAAATTAACTCCTTGCAGTATGAGTGAATGCTAACGGCTTTAGCCTGAAACCTGACTGCACTTAGCCCCAAAAGAACCCAAAGACATACTCGCTTCAAGGAGGTTAAGATGTTGTCACATACAAAGCATAACTAGGGTGGAATTAATAGAATGTGAGAGGTTGTTAAGAGGTTGCTGATTCTTATCCTTAATCTAATCCTTTTTGCTACAAGAGTTACAATTAGAGATTTAAGGCGCTTTTAAAGAAGGGTTAATGGCGATACATACTGTGATGAAAGCGCGTTCTCTACTACCGTCTACACCTGGTGGAGCTTGGTAGAGGAGATTGGCTCTATTTTATACTATGTTAGGATAAGAAGAGAAGGTAAAGCCTGCGCAGCGCTACGATGCTAGCGTGCTCGATTAGCTCTTAGCGCAATGAAGTGCCGAATCTGTCTAAAATACTAAGCTGCTCACTGTACTAAAAATTGCAATAGCCTTTTAATAGAATGCATAGTTAATAACAATACTATAAATTACTCTTATGTCTACAGCTTAACTGTAACGATTCTCACGAATCGTTCCATCTTCGGGTCGCTCGGAATCTATCCGAAGGGCCCCCGTATCGGCCCCGACCATGACTCGACCTTGTCCCCCGCAGTTACCCCCACTCCCCCAAGTATTTAGTCGCACCTCTTCCCTTAGCTAGCTTAGTAGTTTTCTGATATCCTTCGTACAAGGCCTATAGGTGTCAATGGAAATTCCTAGGTTCTGAGTCCCCACGCACTCCCATATGCCTCTGAGTGGATTCCCACCGCATTTAGACCCATTGTCTTCCCTGTGCTGTTACATTAACTAGCTGTTCTCTAAGAGCTCTAAGAATCTAGAAGCTGTCTTAGGCTAGCTCTGTTAGAGAGCCTGCAAAATTCTAGAAAATCTAAACCGCTAGTTATTAAGCTAGATAGGCTAGGGACATTATAATTACTCTTATGTCTGCAGCTTAACTAGCTGTTGTAACGGCGCAGGCAAGACAATGGGTCCGAATGCGGTGGGAGTCCACTCAGAGGCATATGGGAGTGCGTGGGGACTCTGAACCTGGGAATGCCATTGACACCTATAGGCCTTGTACGAAAGGATATCAGAAAACTACTGAGCTAGCTACAGGGGCAAGGTGCGACTAAATACATAAGGGAATAGGGGTAACAGCAGGGGTTAGGGCCAGGTCAAGGTCAGGGCTAATACAAGGGCCTTCTAGAGGTTCTAGGCGACTTAAGATAGAATAATTTATAAGGATTATTACACTACTCCCCCCTCTGTAGACTAATAGTCCCTATTAGTAGTTATAGTTTAAAGTATTGCTGTTATGTCCTCTGCATCCTTAAACTAAAACTAGTCTAATTTAGCTAGGTGTCCTTACTAAGTATTCCTTTGCACTGCTAGCAGTGTCCTCTAAACTAAACGCCATGCGTGCGCGCCTGCTCTAATAGTAATCTGTACTAATGTCTAGCTAATTGTTCCTTACTATCTATACAGTTATTAATTTTAGGCGTGCGTTTAGTAAGGTAGCATTAGGTATTATTAAGAGTGCCTTAAAAGTCTTTTGCTATAGGGTAGCAGTAATAATTTAAGGCATTATTAGAGGTAATTTAGTAATTAATTAAGGTCTATTAGAACATGTTGCTATGCATTAACTCTAAATTAGGTAGGGTATAGCTTAGCTAAAGCGTATTTAACTCTAGGGTTAGAAAGTAGTTAGTAGTTAGGCATTAGCAGTTATCTTTAATTTAATAAGTTATTAGTAGTCTCTAAGTTTCTACCTTAGCGCATTTTTTATAACTTTTCTAAAGGCAATCTTAATTATATAGGAATAGAAAGTTCTAAACTTAAAGGCTTTAGTTAACTAAAAGTTAATAAAATCTAGTCTATAAACTAAATAGTTTAATATAATAGTGTGTAAGTATTATAACCTAAACTAAATTAGACATGTTTTAGGCTTAGACATAGTTAAACAAATAATTAGTGTAATATTATATAAGGCTATTACTAGTAAAAGTAAGTTTTCTAATATAATGTAACAGCGCAGGCAAGACAATAGGTCTAAATGCAGTGGGAGTCCACTTAGAGGCATATAGGAGTGCGTGGGGACTCTAAACCTAGGAATGCCATTAACACCTATAGGCCTTATACAAAAGGATATTAGAAAACTACTGAGCTAGCTACAGGGGCAAGGTGCGACTAAATACATGAGGGAATAGGGGTAACAGCAGGGGTCGGGGCCAGGTTGAGGTCGGGGCCGATACGAGGGCCTTCCGGAGGTTCCGGGCGACTCGAGATGGAACGATTCATGAGGATCGTTACAGCTGTTGTCTAAGAACTCTAAGGATCTAGAAGCTGTCTTAGACTAGCTCACTTAGGGAGCCTGTAAAATTCTAGGGGATTTAGTCTACTAGTTGTTAAGTTCTAATTAGGAAGGTAATACTGTTAATCTAAAATTAAGGTATAGATAGGTTAAATTTCTACGCGTATTTAGACTTTTCTTTACTAATAATAGTTAGAATCTAGTAAAAAATATACTATTTTATAGCTACAGCTTGTCTCTACATTGTATTAAATTCTAAGTCTATTTAGACATATAGTGGTAGATGTAACGGCGCAGGCAAGACAATGGGTCCGAATACGGTAGGAATCCACTCAGAGGCATATAGGAGTGCGTAGGGACTCAATAACCTAGGAATTCCATTAACACCTATAGGCCTTGTACAAAAGGATATCAGAAAACTATCAAGCGAGCTATGGGGGAGAGGTGCAACTAAATACTTAGGGGAAATAGGGGTAACAGCAGGGGTCAGGGCAGGGTCGGAGCCACGTCGCGTCAGGGTCGGGGCCGATACGGAGGCCCTTCGGATAGGTTCCGGGCCACCCGAGATGGAACGATTCCTGAGAATCGTTACAGTAGAGATATTGTAAATCTAATTCTGTTTTTATGCTCTTAAAGTAGGGCGATTTATAGAAAAAAAATTATAAAGTCTCTTAGACAGACAATAAGAGAAACGCTAGCTACAGGGGTCAGAAACTGCTAGTCCTTAGGCTATACTCTGTTTGGAGTAGCACTATGCATGGTGGTTTGTACCCTTTGGACGTGCTGGAAGTTATACCGCCTAGCATATAAGAGGGAAACTGGCAATAAGATAGATGGAAAAATGAACCGGAATATGCTCAGGGTATTTACCTTCCGCCTCCTACTCAAGACTTCTATCTACCTTTTAGCTCTGCCGCCTAGGACTGCGGGTCCTTAACCTACTTATATCTAGCAAGGATAGGACCGCCGAGATGAGACCGACCTGTTCATTAACAACGTTCTGCTTCGTGGCTGTAACGATCCTCATGAATCGTTCCATCTCGAGTCGCCCGGAACCTCCGGAAGGCCCTCGTATCGGCCCCGACCTCGACCTGGCCCCGACCCCTGCTGTTACCCCTATTCCCTCATGTATTTAGTCGCACCTCGCCCCCGTAGCTAGCTCGGTAGTTTTCTGATATCCTACGTACAAGGCCTATAGGTGTCATTGGTATTCCCAGGTCTCTGAGTCCCCACGCACTCCCATATGCCTCTGAGTGGATTCATACCGCATTCGGACCCATTGTCTTGCCTGCGCCGTTACAGTGGCATAGGCAGCTCATATGAGGCATGAAAGGGGCCTAGGAATGACTGCTATTTAAGTAATAGTTAGACCGGTTGTGCAGCTCAAGGCTGTGCGCCTTCATCTAGCCAAGAGGAGCCGAGGGGCTAGTGGCATTTCCGCTACGAGCTGTTAGGGTTGACGACGATGACTTGAAAGTCGTCGCGGGTTCGGCTGGTATTGGGAGCAGCAGCCTCTGAGACGCCGGATTCCTAGATGCTGCACTTAAGTTAGCATGGAGGTGGGTTTTGTACAAGAGAACCAGTCCAGCTCTAAGCCTATTTCATCGTTAGTACATTGCATGATCTTGCAGTTACATATCTTCAATTCAACCCATATGGTCACGTTCGATGTACACATTAAAGCTAGTGTACATGTTAGCATCGCCTGCAGTAGTTGGGGCAGCCCACAACATCGTAGGTTGACGCTGTTTGTACCCAAGATATGAGTTAACACTGACAGTAGCGTATGGATTCTTCAAGTTCCAATTGTAGCCAGATGGCGTCTTAGTGCCACCAGTATTAGTTTTTTATTAAAAAAAAATAGTCGTATGACTAATATAAGATAAAAAGTGACCTAGAAACGCTTTTTAAAGTGTCGTAGGATGTCATGGTGCGAAGTGTCGAAGCTGAAAGCCGGATAAACAGGTATCGGATTCAGGTGTTGATAGCTATGTATGTGCCATGGTGGTTTTAAGACGTCAATATAGAGAACTAAAGCAAGGGCAGAAGTGCTGGCATATATACAGAACGGGATAGGGGTGATAGGAAAGGGGCAGGATGAAACAGGACAGGGCAGGACAGTACAGGCACGTGGCGTACGTAGCGCGTAAGGTGTCAAGGAAATGATGATCGGAAAGCCGAGCAGGGGAGCCGTGAGTCAATACCGTGGCATAGGGACGCTCGTTAGAGGAATTACAGCTATAAACTCTATTCTCATTTCATTAAACCTTTAATAGTCATCAGATATGTGGAAGGTACGTCGACCAGTCGATTGCCATAAAAGCGGTCGCTGGAAGTCTCCGAAATGATATGAAGTCTTCCAGCAGAATACATAATCGGAAAATGGAATACAAAGCACACAATGGTAGCGTAACTACCAATGACCGTATGGGTACGTCGTATTCTGGATCTATATCTGGCGTCTTGTTCTTGGCATGCCGGATAGCGGCTTGCATACGTGTGGGCGGTGGTTTGATCAGTGGATGTGAGCGAACTAGTGGAGGTCCGTGACCCATTTCAATATCTTCGCCTTGTGTAGTCCTCGAGTATTGTTGGACTAAAAACAATATTTCAAATAAGCCACCAATAGCCACAATCATCATCGTGCCTAGAGAGCATGTTCGCCAAAGGATCCGCTCCAGCGTAGTGGGGAAATGGAGGTTCCAGCCTGCAACGAAAACGCTCGTGTAAGCCAAAGAAATGGCTAGCGAAACGAAGAGCATTGATCGTTTCAAGATTAAGAAGTTGAATGACGAGAAATGTTGGATGGGGAGCTCCTTCTGATATGTGTGGATTATCCTCATCCGTCGCAGCAGGTTGACGTTGTACACCCACAGTCGGCTTGCTATCCATTCTTCTCGACTGACGAAGTCGAGCGGCGTGAAATGATATGGCCCAGCCGCACTACGCCCGTGCTCGCCCAGGAGCTGATCCAATGTACGGTGGCAATCTAAGAAAATAGCGTCTTGAACATCCATTGGTTTATGTCGCCAGAAGAACATCGTGGCTAAAGCACAGACAATGTATGCGAGGGTTGTAATTTCGAGAGTAGTGGTCGCATAACCCTTGATAGGCCGAGACACCGTGCTTAAAGTAAACCAAAACATTTGAATGAAGCAAATGAATCTGATTTAATTAGCTTTTGTGTGAAAGAGGCTGATACTGTATCCTACCTAGCCAGTCCATCGCTCTTGTTCTTGTCGCGGATTGTATCCAGTGTGATGTTGCCAGGGAAAGGAATGTAGCGATTTGTAACGAGGAAATGCAGCTGCTTAGCATTTATGGGGAACGATTTCGGTTCGTCCAGCTGGGCATTAGGGAGTTGCAGGTGAATACCTCCCATATCAGCGAAAAAGGCATGCTTCATTGTCCAGCCTGAATGATCTGAGGTAGAGAATGCCCGAACGGAAGCTCGCGCGCTGCAGAATTGCTCAAGTGCGTTGAGAAGAATGAACTCAGGGCCAAGTAACCCGAGACAGAACATATGCCATCGATCCCGAAAGATGTCCCAGACTCCACGAGAAGGCGCAGGCACATTTACGCAAACAGAGGTCCAGATGCAGAGAAATACGGTAACTCCACAAGAGATGATGATGTTGTGTGCCAAAGACAGGCTAAACTGTATATAGCTTAGCACCTCCATCCAATTGGGTTCATCACTGCTGGCTTGCTTCCAGGGCTGGGACGAAGCGCCCGTCGCCTCTATTTTTTGCCTGTGCCGTCAGCTTCCCCACTTTTTTTTTTGACCTTCTTCCGCCCATAACTATGTCTTTGACGGCGAACCCAACCACGCCTCTTTGACCTTCTCCCACCCACAACTACGCCTAAGATGGCGAACCAAACCACGCCCCAACGCAGATTTCCGCTGCGTTATATCGCTACTTTCCTAGCCCTATTGGCGTCGGTTATTATTGGTGCGCTCTTGGCTTGTGTTGAAGGCTGCAATATCACCTCCTTTCGTTGCTGACTATGGAAAACAGGCCTCGTTGCGAGCAATGGCAACGCGTCACCGTCCGTCCAAGAATACTATGGCTCCTCGGAATCACGATTCGGATACTGGCTGTTACTCGGCAACACCAGGCATTGCGGGCTATACAGGAAAGGTCAACTGTCTCCTTTCCCGATCTCTACTGCGCACCGAGCGATGGAGCAGAAGCTATACACCCGGCTGGAATTGAGTCCAGGATCGAAGGTCCTTGATGCGGGTGCAGGTTCAGGATATGTCGCCATATACATGGCTCAGAAAGGCTTGAACGTTCAAGCCATCGATATCACGCCCCACCACATCGCAGATGCTAGAAAGAACATCAAGAAACATAAGCTGGAAGACAAAGTGTCGGTCGAGTATGGTGACTACCACGATCTATCCTCTTTCCCGGACGAGTCCTTCGATGGTATCTACACAATGGAAACGTTTGTGCATGCAGATGATCCAGTCAAAGTGCTCCGCAACTTCTATCGCCTTTTGAAACCAGGCGGTGCTCTTGTCCTCCACGAAGCCGACTTCAGTCGCAACACAGGAACACTCCAGGACGTCCTTCGCTTGTCACATTGTCAAAATACACTAGAAGAGGGTGGATATCAGGAGCTCACCGAGAAAGTGGGATTTAAAGACTTCTCCTTGGAAGACTTGACCGACGAGGTACTTCCTATGTGGAGGCTCTTCGGCGTTCTGGGCTATCTTCCTTACCAGTTGTTTCGTATCCTTGGCATACAGGACCGATTCATTAACGTCATGGCCGGCGTTGAGGCTTGGCTCAACTGGGGGGATGGAAGATATATCTCTGTAAGAGTTTTGAAGCCTTAAATGTAGTGTAGCGGAGCGAACACAGTTTGAAAAGTGCAGAATAATGACGGAGAATCTAGCCTCCCTTCAATTATGTAACGCATTAATTAGTAGATTCTGTATTTTACAAGCGAATAGTCTACACAAGCAAATAGTCCACCCTAACTAAATTTTAGCAGCTTGTACTTTAATTAATAATGTATCTACTAATCAACCTTTACTATACTAAAAAAAAGGTTTAAATACTTTTAGCTTTTTAAGTAACGTACACTACAAGCAAGTTGCTCACACTCCTGAGTTGCTTACTTTTGCTAAGACCCTACCAAACTACTCTTTCTACACTAATGCATTCCTAACAACACTACTTAGACATGCTAAAAGAATATTAGATACAGCTTATGCTTTAGGCTTTTTGTGACGGCGCGTACCGCGTCACATGCTCTGCGGCTTCAGCTCCCTCGCTTGCGCAACGAGTAGCGCCTTGGCAGGGGGCACACATGTATATCTTAAACTCGCAGAGCAGCTCCTCTGCTCCTTAGTTTAATCTAGTTGGGTTACACCACCTCTTGCTTGTAGCTTAAGCATGCCGATTGTGACAGCTAACGTAGCTCGCCTCTTTTACTAGCATATCTAGAAACTCTACAGCTTGCCTGACACAATAGTCTCTAAGTAGAGCTTATAATTTATTTCTGCCTTTTAAGATAAGTTATACAAGTAACTAAAGATTAAAGCCTAATTATCTTCTGCTTACTATTTTAAAACTAACAGCTAGACTAAGAACATAAATGCTGTTATAGAATAAGTTCTTTAAGTATACATAAACTATAAATAAAACAACTAGGTAAGTTAGCTGCCTTTAGCTAAGTTTAAAGCTAATAACACTATATTTAAATTAACCTAAGCCTTACTATTCTTAGCATGTACTAGATAGCACCTATAAATAGGCTTTAAACTACTAACTAGAACAGGTTAACTATCTTACTAAGCTGCTCTAGCTTGTAATGCTAACACAATAGTTAATAAGATGTAAGACATTAAACAGTTTATTTTAAAAAAATTATATAAACTTAAGCTATTTAATAGAAATACGTAAACTAGAAATAAATCTCTACACTTATATACTAAATTAGTAACATAGTCTAGCTAGACACTTAAAATATTTAAATAAACTAGAAGTTAAAGAAGCTAGACTAGAAAGCACTTAGCAAATATAAAGTTACTAAGATAGTTCTATTCTATGCTTTCTAACTTAACTTGCTTAAATCTATAAAGATACACTCTGTCTTCTATGTTACTCTTCTCTAACCTGCTGCCTCTAATTCTAATTACCTACCTAGCTAATAGAACCTACTATCTAAAACTGTTAAAGTAAATAGTAAACCTAAATACTTTATTAAATAAACTAAAGACCTCTGCTATAACTAGCGCTAACGCTGCTACTAGTGCCTTGTAAAATAGACTAGATATAATAACCTAAGCTAGGAACCTACTAAGAACTTAAAGGATAATAAAGCTGTTTTTCTATTTTACTAACAACAACCTAATATAATTAAACTAGAATTAGTCTAAATGTTATAATATCGTACCTAGTTAACGTATCCACGTGGCTTTGTTTTAGTAACTAACAATCTGTTAGAGTGAAGAGAGAAGAAAGCTTATACTTGTAAGAGGTATTGAGTAGGAAACACAGGTCACAGAGAGGGAATGCAAGATAGGGGTAACAAGAGTAAACCTTAGGGTCGGAGGCAGAGGTACGGAGGCCGAGGAGCCTATATACCCCGTGCTAAGCCTAGGGTACTCAGGGGTTAGATAGCTGTAACATAATCGTGACAATACCTTACGTAGCTAGAAGGCAGAGTGTACAGTTCTAGAGAGCCTAGGGAGAGATTAGAGAAGGTTAGTAAAAGTAAGAGAAGAAGAAGTAAACAGAGAGATAAGAGAGATTAATATGTTTTAGTACTCTATAATAAATAGGTATAGAGTACTTAGGCGCTTTATGTTAAGAAGAATATTAAGTAGATTACTCTACCTAAGCTGTGCCTTAATAGAAGAATAACTACAGCCTTCTACACAGGGTAGAAGGCTGCGCCTATATAGTTTTTATAATTATTCTGTTTACTACTCCTGCAAAGCAGTTATTGTTCTTTATAAGCAATTATAACAATTATGTGCTAAGGCTAGCAAATGTACCTTACTAGATTTAAAGTGTTATGTAACTGCCTTTACATCTTTCCTTCTTCTATAGAGTTAGCCTTAGCAGTGCTACGCCTTCTAACTAGTAGTTATAACATCTGCTCTTCTCTTCTCTAGCGTTAACTTAACGTCTACCTACTATACTCTTTTTTTAGAGTATAAAACCCTAGAACGCTAGCCTCTTAAACTTGTACACTTCTTGTCTCTTTTCTACTCTTTCTTCTAATGCCTGCGCAGGCTCTTGTAACGGCACAGGCAAGACAATAGGTCTAAATGCGGTGGGAATCCACTCAGAGGCATATGGGAGTGCGTGGGGACTTGGAACCTAGGAATGCCATTAACACCTATAGGCCTTGTACAAAAGGATATTAGAAAACTACTAAGCTAACTACAGGTGCAAGGTGCAACTAAATACATAGAGGAATAGGGGTACAGCAAGAGGCTAGGCAGAGTTAGGGCTAGGTTAAAGTTAGGGCTAATATAAGAGTCTTCTAGAAGTTCTAGGCAACCTAAAATAAAATAATTTATAAAAATTAAGTTAAAGTTAGAGCTAATATAGAGACCCTTTAGATAAGTTCTAGGTAACTTAAAATAAAATAATTTATAAGAATTATTACACTACTCCCCCCTTTATAAACTAATAGTCTCTATTAGTAGTAATTAACGTACTTCACAGGCAAGTTGCTCACACACCTAAGTTGCTTACTTTTACTAAGACCCTACTAAACTACTCTTCTTACACTAATGTATTCTCTACAACACTACTTAGACATGCTAAAAGAATATTAGATACAGCTTACACTTTAAGCTTTTAAATAAGATATAAAACTTTTAAAAAAATATGCTATAGCTATGTGTAAAGTTTTATAAAAGATAATAAATAACTATAGCGCTAGATAACCTTTATAAGCTAATTTTATAGCTAAATTATAAAGGCTAGGCAATAAAAAGAAGTAGGTAATTATTAAGACTATACTTAAGCTATATGCGCAAGAAATTTCCCCTTAGATAGCATTTATAGCTAATATAGCTAATTCTTTGCGCGCTAAGCATAATCTAGGCTATGTTTATATAAACTAGCTTAGTATGTTTATAAAGTGTTATTTAAAGCTTAAAGTAACACTTAAGTGTAAGTATAACTATAAAAAAGCTTTTTATAAGAGTTCTAAAGTAATTTAAAGCAGGTTTAGCCTTATAAAGAATATTAAAGCTAAGTATAGTATCTAAAATAATAACATATATAACTTTAGTAAAATAAAGTTTATAATTAGCTAAATATCTTTTAACTATACTTACACTTAAAACTTTACTTTAAGCTTTAAATAACACTTTACAAACATACTAGGCTAGTTTATGTAAACATAGCCTAGATTACACTTAGCGCGTAAAGAATTAGCTATATTAGCTATAAATGCTATCTAAAGGGAAATTTCTTGCGCATATAGCTTAAGTATAGTCTTAATAATTACCTGCTTTTTTTTATTACTTAGCCTTTATAATTTAGATGTAGAATTAGCTTGTAAAGGTTATCTAGCGCTATAGTTATTTATTATTTTTTATAAAACTTTATATATAGCTACAGTATATTTCTTTAAAAGTTTTATGTCTTGTTTAAAAGCTTAGAGTGTAAGCTGTATCTAACATTCTTTTAGCGCGTCTAAGTAGTGTTGTGGGGAATGCATTAGTGTAAGAAGAGTAGTGTTACAGCCAACAGTTAGACTGTAATGACCCAACTAGCTGTCCCACACAGCCCGAACGACGTCGGATGGAAGACGCTTAGCCCCGCGCTAAGCAAATCACGTGACAGGACAGATAAGAAATAGCTCTAGCTTTTAGAGAAAAGCCTTACAGAGTGCATTATCTAATAGAACATGCAGGCTTGCAGGCTTGCAGGCTATGCAGGCTGTTTAGGAAACAAGCATGCAAGCATGCAAAGCATGTAAACCCTATGTATATAGTCTTAATTATAACTATAGTTAAAAGGTTGTAATTACTGTTTAGTCTTTACTTACTTAATAGACTAAAAGGCATTAAAACTTTTATAAAAAAGACATTACTGCCTTATATATCTTACACTATATATACCTCTACTTTTATTCTTATAGATTAGGTTTACTAGCTCTCTATACAGCTACTAGGTTAAACTATAACCTGCCTTCTTTATCCTGCCTGCCCTACACTCTACTTAATAGACTGTACACCTAATCTAGCTAAGTTCTATTTCTTTTACTGCTAACATTACTTTAGGCTGTTGTACTTCTAAAAATACTATTTTATTAAAGTAAGAATTATAACAGTAATTACTACTACTTATAAAGTATAGCTACTACTACTTTAGACATTAGCATAATAGGTGCTTTAGCTGCTAGCACTAGCTAGATCTTTATAGCATCTAAGAAAGCATAGAATTAGCAGATACTTTATCTTTAAAATAAGCTTAAATAGCTTAAACAGCACTTCTAGCTATAAGTGTAATAAAGACTTTTAAACATTCTTTAGCTATAAGCTCTCTAGCTAGAAGTAGCTAACTTTAAAAACATTACTTAAAAAAAAACTAGTATTAAGTCTAAAAAAACTTTATGCCTAGCCTCTCTTAAAGCATTTAATAGCTTTACTAAAGATTTAAAGCCTTTCTTTACTAAATGCTACCTTTGCATGTAATATAATAAAGGTGCCTTTAGAATAGATAAAGAAATAATTTTATAAATAAGCCTATACTTAGAAAAATTACCTGCTATTTAGTTTTAGCTCTATACTAATAACTAGATAAACTATAAAGTAAATAGTAAACTTTTATTACTTAAAATAAAAAAAGTCTTTAAAAACTTTAACTTATTTAAAGCAGCTCTAACTATAATTTATAGGCTAGTTAACAAAGAAAAATAAGTAGTTAATAAAATAAACACTCTTTAACAGAGAAATAGCTCTGTCTAATAATACGCAGCCTACTTTAGGA